ATCCTATTTTACATCAATATATATGGTATCTGGGTACCACCAAGTTGAAATTGTGGAAGAGGACAGAGAAAAAACGGCGTTTGTATCTCCATATGGATTATTTCAATACAGTAGGATGCCCTATGGGCTGGCAGGGGCACCGGCAACCTTTCAATCTGTTGTCGAGGACATGGTTCAAGTATTGGAGACTGAGGATATCGTGGCATATCTTGACGATGTTATCTGTTTCCACGGATCTTTTGACAAGCATTTGCAAGGAATTCAGAAATTGCTTGAGATGGTAAGAAGACCGGGTTTTAAATTATCTGGCAAGAAATGCCAGTTTGCGAAACGTTCCGTAAGATTCCTGGGTCATGTTATCGACAATACTGGTGTTAAACCACTACCTGAGAAACTGGATATAATCAAGAATCGGAAAGCCCCGGAAAGCGAGGATGAATTGCAACGGTTCCTGGGAGTATGCACATTCTGGAGGAGATTCGTGAAAGATTTTGCCAAAATAGCCGTTCCACTCCACAACCTTTTAAACAAAGAACAATTTCTATGGACAAGGGAATGCCAGGCTGCGTTTGACCTTCTGAAAGAACGGTTATGTTCTTCAGTAACATTGAAACTTCCATAACGCGTTGGTCGTTTCTCTGTGACATGTGACGCTTCAGATTACGCTGTTGGTTACTATCTCGAGCAGGCTGATAGATCTGGCCTAAAGCGACTGGTTGCGGCGGAAGAAAACTACATAAAGCCGAAATGAACTACTCCACCACGGAGAAGGAGTGCTTGGCAGTAGTTGAAGCACTGAAAGCGTATCGTCCTTATGTTTTGGGAAATCAGTTCGATTTATACACAGATCACCAATCTCTTAAATGGCTGCTAACGCGAACGAAAGAACATAGTGGCCGCCTGTGGCGGTGGGTTGACAAAATTCGTGAGTTTCAGTTCTTGGTTAAGCATATCCCTGGATGAAGTAACACAGTGGCGGATGCCTTGAGTAGAATTCGAAATGTTACAACGCGAGAACCAACACCCTGGAATTTAGAATACATTCACCAGCGACAAGAAGGTTGTGAAAAGATAAACCAAGTGAAATCCATGTTACAATCAGGAATACCACAAATAAATACCATGGACATGGAATTAAAGGCATTCGAGGACGAACTACCGAACTTATATGTACGGAAAGACAATGTTTTGTGCCATTATGACAGTAACGATGGGAAGAGTACAATAGTGATCCCCCGTAGTTTAATTCCTAGAGTACTACACATGATGCATAATGATTTGGGACATTTCGGTTTCAAGAAGACAGTGCAAAGGATCAAGGATAAGTATTTCTGGCCCCTAATGTCATCCGAAATTGAAGATTGGTGCACAAAATGCAAAATGTGTCAACGTAGAAGAAATCCGGTACCAACCCAAAGAGCCCCACTTCAATCAATTTCTACATGCCGCCCCGGGGAACTGGTTACTATGGATATCGTTGAGTACACACAAAGTTCGCGTGGATACCGTTATTGTTTAGTAGTGGTCGATCACTTTACAAAGTGGTTAGAATTATTTCCATTAAGAAATCAGAAGGCCGAAACAATAGCAAAGAAATTCTTTGATGGTTGGATCCCTCGACATGGAGCACCCGAACAACTCCACCATGATCAAGGGAAGAATCTAACAGCTGAAATTATCCATGAAGTGTGTTCGTTTTTAGAAATTTGGAACACACAAACAACACCTTTCCATCCACAGTCAGATGGGGCGTCAGAAAGGAGCATTCGTACCGTGAATAACATGCTAGCCAAGGTTGTTGCTGAGGACCAACGAAATTGGGACTTGTATGTGTCGTCTACATGTTTTGCATACAATACAGCAGTTCACAGCTCCACCGGTTACACCCTAGTTACCTCGAATATGGCAGAGAACTCCGTCTACCATGCGACCTTGCTATGAATGATCAACAAACTGTAAACAAAATATCTCACACTGAGTACGCAACGGAACTGAAGAAAAGAATTACTAAAGCGTTTGAATGCAGCAGGGAAACGCTCGAGTGTTCCCACAGACCACAAAAACTTATTACGACAGGTGGGCAAAGGGAAATGTTTACAAAGAAGGAGATTTCGTAATGCGGAAAGATCAGAAAACCAGGAAAGGGAGATGTATGAAGCTGAACAAACCTTGGACGGGTCCATGTGAAATTATTAAACGCCTAGGGGATGTAGTATACAGAATAAAGTACGTGGGCTTTAGCAAGGTTGAGCTGGAGCGAAGGATTGTCCATCACAATCAGTTAAAACGATTTTACGAGACCACAGGGTTGCAGGAAGAAACCGTAAAACCAGAACAAACCCCTAGACAACGTACATGTAGCTGAGGACGGTAAGACAGTCGAGAACAGGAATGACGTTGTCATTGTAGACGGTCCAGATACCGCCGGCGAACGCGAGTTACAACAGCGTCAAGACGAAGCAGAACCAGCGGTGCCGGAACCTGAAGGAAGGCCTCAACGACAGCGAAGACCACCGGGCTGGCTTGCTCCATACGAAACTAACATTTATTTAAACTGTGGGACACAGTTCATTCTTAGGAAAAGGCAGTGTAAGGACTGGAAACTAGGACATGCGCAGAAACACGTTGTTCGCGCGCTTCTATTTTGTCATGCTTTATCGTTTTGTAAATATCGTGCTGTTCTTGTTGTTTCAATAAATATTCATATTTATTGCGTGAGTTTACAAAATCAACAGCGGTATCCTAGAAAGGGCGACACAACATCTTAGTCATCTAGATTTATCGTGTGACCGCCCTTGACCTACAATCCTAAACCCCACAGCAACAGAGGTCACCCCGAACCCACGCAGAGACGCGGCGATTGCAGCAGGGTTTCGAACTGATTCAGGGCATCCTCGATACACAAGAAAGTGACTAACTTTTAAGAGAAGGGAAACATTGTGCGTTACGCAACAGTCCTGTTATGTTTATTGTTTGGACGTATTGAGAACAAGAACTTAAGTCATTAACAAATGTACAGATAATTCGAAGAATGTAAACAATTTAAACTGAAAATGGAAAATAAACAAACGACTGTTTGAAATGTTTATGCTATGTAAACGTCTATAAGAAATTATGTAGACTTCATTTCAGTGGCGTAGTCAACCTGTCGATTTTGCAGCATACTATATTGTTCATTTCTTTAGACTGAATCCATTGATTTCCCAGTCAATTAATGAACATCGAAATACTAGCATAGCAGGATCATTCGTCAGATTGGCTACGCCACAGTCGCCACTTAGCCCCTACTAAGTCCCTGAGTCAAAAAATAGGCGAATCAAGATTTTGAATATAGTTTAATCCTCGCCGCTCATATAATATATTTGTATTAGTGAATGAAACTTAAACACTATTGTAAAATAAGGAAACAAAATGGTGTTAGATATTCATAAATGGCAAGCCTTTGTTTACATAGCTATGAAAGCGACTTAGCTTCCACGCGCAACTGAATTGACAGGGTGTCTACGCGCATGGGCAAAAATATAATATAGAAAGCAGTCATTTTATCGTTTGACATGGTAAACCTTACTTGATGTGAACGAAGATTCAAGGTACGTTCTGTTGTATTTTTACTGTTTAGAAAGTAGTATAAACATCAGACCCAATATATGACAACTATTCACAAATTTCCTGACACGTGATCACTGCTTGACGTATCTGGAATTTGTATGGAGAAGCCAGGAGAAACGTAAACCTTAAGAAGAGACTGAAAAATTGATGGTGGTGTTCTTAGAGGTAGTCAAACTAAAGTTTTTCCAGGAGAATTGCAGTCATATACTGTAAGGCTTTTCCGCTTTCCCTTTTTGGTTACAAGCTATATGCTCACCACTGATAGCAGATCAATATATCCGTCTCCTATTACAATTTGAAAAAATATAATCTCTGGAGCTGACAGAACAGATAAGCGTTGACACCTTTAAGGCGAGCATTTGGCAACGCACGGTATCGTATAACACGTTAAACAGCAGTCAGCAGGGTTTAATTTTGGTTACTTTTGATATGCGAGACGAACGCACGAAGGGATTCTGATCATGTATATTCCATTCGTCAAATTTATAACTGAGGTTTTGTGACTCCTCGGGAACCTCAGCTTGGGGCAGCATTTCCCATACCATGCCTTGCGAAATATTTTATTAGATAAAATATTTCCGTTGATACTATAACTCTTACGTTGTTTCATACTTCCTGATACTTGATTCGGTCTAAGTTAACCGAAAAAAAATGCTTGATGTTGATTTTTGTAGGCACATTGGCCTGATTTATTTTCGCAGGGGAGAGAATTCCAAAAAAATATTTTGACTATATCAAGTACAAATTGACTAATCACTGATTTCGGCGACAATTGTCTGAATATTATAGCTCAGTTCGCTGGAGTGAATCTTCGCAAATTCACCGAAATAATTCCATGTCCTCCAGATACACAGATTTTTGATCTGACATTGAAATCTAGGGGTTAATATTGATCGCACAAATTCAATTGGATTGCTATCTTTTCCTATAGGGCCTTAAGATACTATCGTTAACAAATGATGAAAAATTAAAAATATGGAACTAAATTCCTTTGAATTTAGTTCCATATTTTTAATAAAAAACCCCAAGTCTCGCGAGATGCGTGTTCGCACGCGTGACTGAGCACGCCAAAATCCAGTCTCATTAGTCAATTCCTAATGATTCTTTTGGCAATCCAGTGTATTTCAATCCTACGCAACACTCCTGAATGCCTTGAAACGGTTGAAAACCATTATTTCACTTAAATGTGCGTTTTAACTTTTAACCAATAACTATTGCTAGTTTGCTACATGATATGTAATGCTACAAGATACATGTTATTACCCCAGGACTCTCCCCAAACCAAATGGTAATTTGGCTAACTTCTCATTGCGAGAGCGCCCATTGGACTGTTTCTAATGACGCATTTTTAAATGTTTGGTTTTTCCGTTTTCCGGGCTCCGAGTGGCAATACAAACTGCAAAGTCACGCCCTGTCAGTACTCAGTGGACATTAATTCATCGACGCAATAGGACATACATTTGAGTGATTCGACATTCGACACGACTGCTAAGTGTGTTTGGAAATATTACAGTTTGCTGCTCTTAAATCGAAAGCGTGTTGAAAAGGTAATTATTTTGTGTCTAATATCGCGATCATTCTGTGCTTGAAGAATGGTTTATAGATCAATATTGATCTATAAACCTAATTGCACTGCCTTGAAGTCTAATGGCATGTAATCTTTGTTGGGATATTGCGGTACCGTTTGAGGCAAATTAGTGTATACATCTATAGATTTATGTATAATCTAGTTACTAATGTCAGCGATTGTGGTAAAAGGCGAACCTTGCCGTGAAAATGGCAATTTACGTTCTGTTTTGTAAACAGCTGTGAACTCAAGAGGCGAGCGGAATTCGTTCACCGTTTTAATGGCGACACTTTGACGATAACCTGGTATATTGCACGTGTATTTAAAATCGTAACTTTTTTAAGCTTTCGCTAAGTTTCTGTTGAACGAGTTAACGAATTGACAAACGAATTTCAATGGGACGGGTTTGGTGGCCGAAGTGCGTCAACAATGCCTTTGCTAATGGGTTTGATTGTTTATTAATCACAAACGAAAGGAGACGAAGACTTCGAATGTTTATTGTATCTAAGTAATTTGATACAAATCCTTGATTCTAAATTCTACATTGATTTAGAAATGTTATTGTGCATGTCTAGATTAACAATTTCTCTAAATTCGAGTGTCCTTAAACGAAGGCATGGCAGCATGGCCAATATAAATATAAAATAGAAAGAGTTTGGTTTGTATTGTTGTGAATTCTTTCTGAACTCGAAAATATATCTGGGATGCCAAAAGCTATTTTGAAGACAAAATAGTTTATGTTAAAAGTGGTATTCGTAGTATATTATATAATGCATCAACTCAATGTGTTTCCTGAATTTATGATATGGGTTGAAGGAAATGTCCTGTCACGAGAAGTCAATAATTTTGTGTTATCAGACAACACCCTTTTTAAATTTTGATCTACATTATCAATGAATGTTTTGTGGATTTTGTTTGGTTTGATTTTGTGGAGTGTAAATAAACCACTAAGTGACATAAGTCAAAATTCTTCTTAAATAAAAACCTGCACATCTGTGCATTCCTATTTCTGATAGGTTAATTATGTAGTAAAGATCAGATAGGTTGACCAAACTGCATTTCCATTAGTGCTTTCTTTAATAATTGCATCAATGCTAAAATCATGCTGTAATCTTGATGCAAAAGTTATCGTAAACAGAACAATTATAAATGGTAATGGTTTTTTGCTTATGGTAGTACTTTGGACATCTGATAATAATGTAAACTTCGGCTCACAGAATCCAATTTTGTCAAATCTAATTTGCTTCTGATGTAAAGAATGTGGTCTGTTTGTGATATAGCAGCGATGAATTGGCTTCAGTTGATTTGTTGCATATGTACATTGTAGATCATCCAAGCATAAAACATCGTAGGTGAATTGGATCCAACAAAATTACATTGTGTGAAATTGGCAAGCTTGTATTGGAGAAAAATAAATAAATTATGATTGTTGTTTTGTGAATAATTTACAATATATATACATGTGCTGCAATTGGTATCTTTTTTATGCCTAGATACAATCCAAAGATGACTTTAGTGGTGACAACTACACAAGCTTTATTCCTTATCAGCTTAATCAGTGTGGTGTATGGTGGCAAATGTACTGATGATAAATGTGAGAAAGTTTGTTATAAAACATGTGATGGATTGGACTGTGGCAATTCAAAGGAGTGTGTACAATTATGTATTGGCAGGTCATGCTCCTCTTTTAAGTGTGACACGGACAGTTGCACTCAAAGTTGTATGAATTGCACCAGTAAGATGGTCTGCAACTCAAAAAACTGTCTACAAACCTGCAAAGGAAGTTCCTGTGAAATGGAATGTGGTCCCAAAACTAAAGTTTGTAAACAGGTTTGTCAAACAAATTCAACTTGTAAACTAACCTGTGATAAAGCAAAATCAAAATGTGAGAATACATGTGAGGGTGCTGAATGTACTGGTTTGGAAAAGGAACCAAAACAAGTTAGCAGTTGTGATGAAAGTACTAAGAATTGTACAAGAAGCTGCACAGGAAACTGTAAAGGAAGACAACTTACTTGCCTTGGTAATCAGTATGAGGAATGTCGTTTAAGCTGTGAAAATGGATGTAACATGAAGTGTGACAGCAAAGTTAAAAATTGCTACCAGACATGTATTGGTGACCTTGAATGCAGTAGCATCTGCCATGCTTCAAATTGTGTCTTTAATGGAAACTTTGAACCTATCACGTCCTCTGCTATGGTTTGTAAATTGAACTCTCTTGTGTCAGCATTCATTTCCTGTCTAATGATCATCTTGGGTGGAAAACTCTAAATGAAACATTTGCTGCATATTTTATCTATATACCGGTACTTCGAGATTTTATTCTTAATCTATAGGTAGCTATTTAGTTTTTCTTAAGTGAAAGTAACTCAATACTCTGCCTATTTAACTGACAATGTCTTCCAGCATTTTTAAGCAAAATATCCAACTAGCGTGAATAATGCATCAGTGAACTGGTTTTAACTTATCTCTAATTAAGTATACAAACCTATCAATGGATTTTTATACTATTACTGTAATTTAGGGTTTAATAGGCTAATGATGCAAGCTTCATCAATTCATATTGATTAATTTAGATTGGGATATCACTACATGGGGAATTTTCACTTTTGTGACCTGTTCTATTACCCTTATTATATTAATGGTTACATTGAACCTTGTGTCAGTACAGGCCATTATACTTACAGTCGGGTTGTATAGAAACTTTTTTGAATGTTCAAGCTAGGCTTGTCACTCAAAGATATTCATACTGAGTGATCTTAACCTCAAAATCTTAACGTTTTAGCTTTACTTAGTGCCTAATATATGATTATTGTACCTAGTTTTAACCGTGTGATTTTTAATATTATTTTGGGTAAATCAATAAATAGTTTACTTTTGCGAAGACTTGTTACATTTTTTTTTAGCATGAACGTGACCATTATAATGAATTATTCAATCGAACTCTCATAAAGTAGTTCTCTTAAGTTATTTTTATTCCGATGGTAGCAGGGCCGTAACTATAGGGTGTATAAAAAAAAACGCAACCACTTAATATTCATGAATATCCTCTTTGTTCTACAACAGAAAAGACGTTTGGCCCCTGGAATGCGAGAAAGCTTGTAATCATATTCTAGCGGCACAATCGTCGGTAAACAAAGTCGGGTGCGTACACCAACGAGCTGAATTGAAAGTATTTAAGATTTTAACGAGTAAAATGTTATTTACAATTTATTTTACAAGGTCGACAGTTAGCATTCAAGTTATCATGCACGACAATAAAAACTCGTTCGGTTGTTAGCTGCACCATTATTAGTTAAGCTGATTTGACTATTAGCAGTTGAACTGTACGATTAGAAGCCATTTTAAAATCCCAGGGGCATAAAATCTATTGAGCTTATGAACAATATGAATTTTAGAATATTAAGTGGGTTGCGTTTTTTTTGAGACACCCTGTAGAACAATAATTGGGGTGGTGTTTATTCATATATTCAGTTCTGCCCGACGGATTTTTATTGTGAGCTATTGCACTTACAGAAGAAATCCGTCGGGCAGAACTGAATATATGAATAAACACCCACCCCCACCCCCAATTATCGTTCTAGTTACGGCCCTGGATGGTAGACGGACTATGCCATGACGTTTTGTCATGCTATCCCATGAGTCTTTTCTGAATTTTTCATTTGGTCTTCGAATCGAGTTGCTTACAATGTTTATCATTTATCCAAATTATCCCGAATAAGACTACGACCCGACCGCTTAGCTTTCCGGGTTTTCCGTAAATAATAGTCCCGAGTCAGTATCATCCTAGACACCTTATCATTTAACCATGGAGTACACGAGCCACGCGCCTTTTTATTTATTAATAGAGCATGATGATCACAGACCTCAAGAAAATTTATCCCACGCACTGTCAACATCATCGGTAGCGTAAACGTCGTTCCACGGCGATCGTTTTAGTTCATCATTAAAGGACACTGCATAATACCTTTTATAATTGCGACATTAAGGGGCTGTTTACATGAGCCCTACAGGGAGGGCTACCAACTAAAGAACAATTTTGTTTGCCTGAGAGGAGCAGGTAGGGCTGAAAATTTTCCTTATAAACGTAACAGGGAGGACTAGCCCTCTGACGTTGACGTCAGCAACGACGCTTTTGACGGTTCCGGCTAAAATTTCCAAAGCAATAACAGAGTATATTGTTGAAAAATCATTAAGAAAAGTAAAAGATATTTCAATTGAAATAGTCTCTAAAGGCTCTATTACGCGGTGCAATCTTAAAACTTGCAATGCAATTCTACTTTTAAGAGATTGCACAAGACTAGCATAAAAATTTCGGCAGTAATATAAGTGGAAATATAGAACACGGTCCAGTTTTAAAATCGTCATTCGTTCACGACGTCATGATCGTTTTGGGGGGTTTGGTTTGCTTGTTGTGGAGGTGTGGTGATCGTTCTGGAGGTTGTTTGGTTTGATTGTTAGTATGAAAACCAGGCATTTCATATCCACAAAACGTCCCTTTTTAAACCTTCCATTTCAGTGCGAACACAATATTTTGTGGCATTCTATTCTAGGAATTTAGCAGACTAGACTGGCATTACGCTTGGAAAGCATAACTAAATTTTGACTAACGTAAAAAATCCTAGACCCGGCCCTGGAAGAAACATTCATGTAGTGTAATATTAACGTAAAAGTTCGTAGTTGCCAAATTTACATCTCTCAAAAGCTGCGTAATGCTTGTCAGTTACAGACTACATTCCATACGTCAAAAATGAATCGACAAAATAGGATTGTGTGATGTCCTGTCGATTTTACGATTTTATCATAGTTGCAAGCTTATGCTTGTCAAAGAGATGGACAGATTTGTAATCCTTACGTCAGAGTTACTGCCCTTTCCGTTAATACGGTTAATCCGGCCCTTATAGAGTTTTATCAATACCATTCTCCGTCGATGCCATTTCCGTCTGGTTCATGCGGTATTATGCGGCCAAAAATTCTTATGCGGCCAAAAGTTTTCATGAATCATGATCATGATTTTTCGTGACAGATTAGTAGCAATTCCCCATTCACACGGGCTTACTGCATGCAAGCTATTAACCAAAGAATATTTGGTTATTAAAAAGTCAAAACTGGCCTTCTAAGGGCCTGTTTACATGGGGCGAGTTATCCCGGCTAGGGGAGGTATAAAGCGTATCACATCAAAGGCTTAACCTGATCAGTCTTTCATTATATGCAGTTTTCTATGGCGTTCCATCGCCATAGTTTTCACCTTGCCTAGCATCCTCGTCCCCAGGGCCTAGCGCCGTTGCTCTCCACATAGGCTTGCCTAGCCCCTAGCCCCTAGTTGTCCGACAAGACATACGTAGATTAAGAACTAGCTCTTAGACCTGGGAACGAAAGCTTCAACTTTGGCTTGCCTGGCATATTTGAAGATAGAAACGCTGATTTGCTCAGTCAACCACAGCCGATCTTAAACTCGTTGCGACTCACACATCATACATCGTACGTTATTTTGGGGCTTCCATACATTCTACGTCAACAGCTGTTGTCAAAAGGCATCAGCGACCAGCTTCCAATTCTACTGGATTATTCCTGGTAAACTGAATGGTTAGTGCTTCTTTAGAAGAATGCATATAGACTCATATAGTACGAGTGTATTAGTTATATGGCTTTTTAATATAGCTAATATATTTGAAGATGTCTGTTACAACTTTGCAAGAAACTAAGATCTTATCCCGGTTTTGTTCGTTAGCCTTAAGTTTTATGACACTGAATTCAACCTATGTAGACCACGGTTGATCGTCTGGGCACATATTCGAATGCGGAAACCCATCGGAAATCGTGCGAGTCAGTAAAACCTATATGAAAACAAAGGTGCCAGTGATTTTATAATAGCGTTTGCCAGCATGCATGCATATATAATTTTGAGGTAGCTTGACAGTCTTTGTTCGAATTATTCCTTTTAATTATTCTATCGATAGGAGGAAATGCTTGATTGAAGTATGAGAAGAGACTAAATTTAAGTTGTTCTCCTTTCAGTCCTTTGCATTTCACTACGGATAAAATTAATGATTGTTCAGATTGTTGTTGTCGAAGTGTCACAAACACATTGTAGTGAAAAGAAAATAAACAGGACTTTGGTTAACGCTTACGTAGTGTAAAAGAGCAGTCACTTCTCTTTCCAATGACACGTACCATTCTTGTTTTTTGACTGCAACCAAACTACTGAATGAAAAGCGTGTTTTCCATTTTGTCGTAACTCCCGTGAACAATTGATTTTCACCAATGGGAAATATAGTCAGAATTTAAGTTCAGTGTCGATATTAATGTATTCAAACCAGTGATTCAAACAGGTCATTGTTTACTGCACAAAAGTAGAAATATTCCATTGCATCAGCCACCTTGACATGTTCACGACAATTACAACAAAAATCTATGTGGAAGACGGGCAACTTTAAATTAATTATCAGCTTGATATAGGCCATGGATATAGCCATTGAAAAGGTGTTATTATCGAGATAAATAACTTATATAGCTATAGCCTATAGCTACACTTAGATTTAACCACAGTTATATTTACCTGAACCTATTAATGTACGAATTTCTATCTAATAATGATGAATGTGAGAAATATATCTTACGGAATACTTCAATCATACAGCGTGTAAAAAAAACGCGGCACAAAATATTTATAAATATTCGCTTTAGTCATTTTCTATTCGAGCACAAAACAGGTAGTGCTTTAAGTCATTACATACAATGAAACCAAAATCAAAGCGTTTCTGTGTTTAAGTGGGCGCATATAAATTCGCAGCGGCTCGCTTCTGTAAGAATTGACATGCCCTTTCATTATCAATTAGCCATGCCGGGCTTTAAAAAAAAGAAAATGGAAATTTAACAGGTAATGCATCAAATATTGAGACTACTGATTAAATCACAGTTAATAGAATATACATGGTTTAGAGACTACGTAAAAGTACAGTAGAATTCGTTAAGACGTTAACTATGTTGGGGAAGATTTATGAACAAATAAACCAATAATAAATTCTGAATTAACATATTGTTTAAGTCACGGTTGAGAAGGTACGCCAAGCCATTGCTATTGGTTAGTTGTGCAAAAATACAATAGACATGTGACGGATAAGGAACCATTTTTGGCATAAACCTGGGGCCGGTTGTTCAAAAGCGGGTTAAATTTAACCCAGGGTTAGCGTTAAACCTGGGTTAAAATCCTTAACCCAAGGTTAGCTAACCCCAGGTTAAAACTCCGTTGTTCAAAGCAGTGTGAAAGTTGCGGTTAACTAACCCAGGGTTAAGGCAGTTAACCTTAGGTTAAAAAGCGCGCGAATTCTTGCAAAATGGCGGACGTTGAAGGAGGGAGACAAAAGAAAAGAAGAAAGCTCAACTTTACGGTGACCGAAATAGACACTTTGACCAGCAGAGTGCAAGAAAATTTAGGACTAATCCAGTCAAAACTAACCAATGCGGTAACGAATCAGAAAAAAAAAAAATTTGGGAGAATATCACAAAAGAAATAAACGCGATAGGGGTGGCAAACCGCACAACAAGCGAAATTAAAGAGAAGTGGAAGAACCTGACCAGCTCCGCTAAGAAAACGTTTGCCGATGTGAATAGGCAGATGCGAAAAACTGGAGGTGGTCCTCCACCTAAAGAACCCACTGCAGCGCAAGAGAGGATAATCAAAATATTTGAAGATACTCCTCTTTTTACCGGATTAAGCGGCTTTGAAACAGGTACCGGTGGGAAGTGATTGCATTTGTTGCGCTGAACTGTGGTACAAGTTTGGGCAAGTCTCTAAATTAGTTTCCAGAGCGCAACGCTTAATTAAATTGTAATCATATATTCATTTCATATCATCATATTTGCACGAACGCGGCCATGTTTGCAAAGAAATTGCCAAGTTTTCAACTATTAATATTTGTTCAACTCCATTAGTGAAAACGGCTTCCTAAACTAAGATAAGTTTTTTTCTTTCTAGTTGAAATTCTAACTTTGCCAAGACTCTGCTATATATAAATGCTTGTGTCAACACTTTGCATTTTGCAGTTTCGCCTTTTTTTAAAGCATATATTTGTTTATTGTATATGTATTATGTTTTATTATTTGGGTATTTTATGTCTCTTCATTTTTCAGACGGACAGGATAGACAATCCTTGGAGGGTTGTAGCACGCCCGCACTTAGAGACGGTATCCTTCAAGAATTAACAGAAGTAGGACAACTCGACTCAGATGATTCAGATGAAGATAATTATGATCGTGAAAAACAGCGTCCGATACCACCATCTTTCAATAAGGAAGAAGTCTTTACTCCTAATTGTTTACCTGTGCCCACCACCCTTATCCCCGCCCTCCCTCCACCAAGCAAAACAGAACGAAAAAGGAGAATAACAAACCAAGAGGTTTTAAAGCTGCAAGCTGAAGTTCTACAACACCAGAAAGAAGTTTTAATATTGAAGAAGGAAAACCTAAAACTAAAAAACCAGGCTTTAAGAGAGGCACAAAATAGTATGCTGAAGCTTTGAAGGGTACTGTGTCTATTCATTCCTTTGATAACTTAATTATTTCTATACAGCTTAATTATGGTTGGACTTTCAGAACCTCAAATTCTATGCATGCAAGTGGTAATAGGGGTTGTAAGGTACTAGGCATTTACACATTAAAAGCAGACAGATTGCCTTGTGCAACAAATTTTCATGTTCATGATTGTAAATACACACTCTCAAGTACTTATCATTCTTTATTCCTCCAACGTTAAAGGAAAAACTTATTAATATAAATTTCATTTAGCTGTATATAATTTTGTGTGTAAAGTATTTATATTAATGTTATATATTTATTTTATTTATAGCATTCATAAACTGTTCATAAACTAATCACAATTACATATTTGCAATATAATTTATAACCATACTTTATTGACACTGTATATTAAATTATAATATTTGATATGATAATATTTAATATTAATTAAATGGGTATGTGGAAAAAGTAGAGTGTACACTCAGTCATTTACAAGCTTGAACACATCAATCAACTTACCATAATAGCCTGTGGTTTAATATACACAAATTCATGCCAATTAATAGCTGTTTAAAAAAAAGTGTTTGCTATATGGTCTCTGATAAGATGGCCTGTTTCATGCCCTTGATATTCCTGTACTTCCAGTTCATCATCTTCATCATCATCATCATCCATTGGCTCATTAAATGCAATTGCAATATTATGCAATATTGCGCATGCACCAATAAGCTGGCAAACCTTTTCCGGGTGCATTCTCACTTCTGAGTGCAGAAGATGGAATCGTCTTTTCCATCTACCAAATACTTGTTCAATTATGACCCGGGTCCTCCTATGGGCTCGGTTAAACCCCCTTTGATTTGCTGTGGCTGGCTCATGATATGGTGTCATAAGGTATGGCTTCAGTGCATAGCCACTGTCACCAAGCAAAATTCCTTGCTCCAAGTGGTTGTGGTTGTTCTCAAGCTGCTGGCATATTTGAGATGTGTGGAAAATGTGGCTATCATGGGTGCTGCCAGGCCATCGAGCCACAATGTTTGTAAACCGTCCTATCAGAGGAGTATATTAAAAATGTAGTACATTTAAACGTGTGGTGTAATGGCTTTACTGATTCAAAAAGTTATTAATTAAACTGGACTAATCTTTTGGGACGCCCAGTACAAGTAATAGCAGTGTGATTATATATAATTATGATACAGTATCAGTATGTACCTTCATGATCACAAATGCCCTGTACGTTGATAGAGTGATAGCGCTTCCGGTTCACGTAATTATTCTCGTTATGATGTGGCGCCTGAATTCTGATGTGTGTACAGTCAACACAACCAATCACAGACGGAAAGCCAGCTTGTGCAAAAAAGTGGTTCTTTACTTTCTCGATTTCGTTTATTGAAGACGGCCATTTTATGAAATCATTTCGTCTTCTATTCAGTGCCAAAGATACATCTCTGACCGTTCGAGACACCGTTGATTTGTCAACACCGAAACTATCTCCAACAACTTGTAGGAAACTGCCGGAGGCATAAAATCTCAAGGCAATTAGGACTTGTTGTTGTGGCTCAAGTGCATGGCCTCGCTGCGTATTGCGAATTAAATCTTCATGCAGAAGGTTTGTAATGTAATTTATTGTGTTTCTGCCAAACCTATACCTTGCCCTTAGCTCATCGTCGTAAAGGCCGTCAATATTTATGCCACGTGGACGATATCGTCTTTCCCGACGAGGATGATTTATTCGAAACAAATTAAGAGGAAAGCCTGCCATGTTTTATTTGCAAACTTGATACGTTAACCTAGGGTTAAGTAAGTTAACCCATCTAGCGAGGAGGGTTAAAGTTAACCCTTCCTTTAACCTAGGGTTAAAGATAACCTAGTTTTGAACAACGCAAAGTAACCCAGAGTTAAAATTTAACCCAGGGTTAAGCAAATTTAACCCTGGGTTAGCGTTAACCGGCTTTTGAACAACCGGCCCCTGGGGCCGGTTGTTCAAAAGCAGGCTAAATTTAACCCTGGGTTAGTGCTAACTCTGGGTTAAAATGCTTAACCCTAGGTTAACTAACCTAGGGTTAAAATTGCGTTGTTCAAAGCAAGGACAGCGCCAGGGTTAGTTAACCCAGGGTTAAGAGACTTAGCCCTGGGTTAAAAAAGCGCGCGAATTTTTTTTCAAAATGGCTGACGTTTTACAGGACAAACAAAGAAAAAAAAGAAAGTTAAACTTTACACTTTCTGAAGTAAATATATTGTTGAACAAAGTAGAGGATAACCTAGAAGTTATACAGTCCAAATTGACCAATGCAATTACTAATAAACGCAAAAATACGGTTTGGGACGCGATCACACGCGAGATAAATGCGGCGGGAGTGGCAAATAGGACGGTAAACGAGGTAAAAGAGAAGTGGAAAAAGCTGACGAGCGGCGCTAAAAAATCTTTTGCCCTCATAAAGAAACAACAACAGGGTACAGGTGGTGGCCCCCCGCCAAAAGAAGCATCTCCGGTAGAAGAGAGAGTAATTAAATTGTTTGAAAACACGCCTCTGTTCACGGGACTAGATGGGTTTGAGACAGGTATGAAATAATATGAAATAAATTGCGTAATGTGTTTCGGGCAGGTTTGGGCACGACGTTATTAGTTCCCAGTCGTTTATATAAATATTTTTAAATCAAAAGTCAAAACGTTTACTGTAGAATATATAAGAGTCTTACATTGCAATGAAAATGTTTATTTTGTTGATTAAATCGTCTTTCGTATGTTCATTTTGTTGACTACCGTTGACATACAAAAGTTGATGAGCAACTAGGACAAAGATAAGTATTTTGAGCTGTACAAGAGTAAAATGACATTCAGTATTTTACATCTCCTTGCAGTCGTTTACATTTATATATATTTTTTGTTTTTAGCTGCAGATAATGCATATGAAACGGTGACCGCTCTGAGCAATTCCGCTTTCGCATCGCCATCGTCACACTCTAGCATCAATGACATCGAACTGATCGAAGATCCTTCCCCGATACCTCCTTCGGTATTGTTGGCTGAAGATGAAAAGGATGAAGAGCCGACAAATATGAACATCCCTCCTTCGTTGCCGGTACCATCTCGTATGTTGGCAGCCCTACCTGGTCCGAAAAAGAGTGATAACCGAAAGAGGACAACAAACCAAGATGTATTGCAGTTGCAAGTAGAGGTACTTACTCTGCAAAAAGAGGTATTGGCTTTGAAAAAGCAAAAACTTCAAATCCAAATCCAGAACATGAAAGGTTAATTTTTGCACAATAATCCCTCAGGCTCAGTCACAGTTCCCCCTGTTTCTTTTCTTTTCTACTTCAGATATTTGTTTAAATATTAGTTTTAATGCATCAGCTACCAGCCTGCCACATTCACATATAATATGTCAATGGTTTTCACTTTGCCCAGCAGTAACTGGCCATATATTATAAATTATCAACTTTATTAAACAATGAAAAATATAGGAATCATAAAAATCAGTTCCCAATATGTAGTTCTTTATTCAAAATATTTATTGTCAATTATTTATTTTGTTTTAATGTTTGAACTTATTATAATCTGATCTTCAGTGCATGTATTATAACCACACAACATTTTGGATACTATACAGGGTGAGTAAAAAAAATATGACACTTTTGAAATTCAAATTAGCTGCAAACTTATGGCTGGAATTTGACAATTCCCATTGTGTACAATCAATAAGACGTGGTTAATTAATGCGAAAGTGTTTAAACCAATTGAACTAATTCAACACTCTTTTTTATTACAGAGCTTAGAATAAATTTAACTCCCAAAGGGAACAAACTTTATGTTCAAGGCTAATAAATTGGTTCACTTATTTGATATGTTTCGTTTACCCATGAGATATTTTAGGCAACTTCTGTAACATATTACAGCCGATTAAAGACACATTGCAGCTAATTTGAATTTAAAAGGTGTCAGGTTTTTTTCTGCTCACCCTGTAGTGTAAATTTTAATGAACAATTTTCTATTGTACTGTATATACAAATAATTTAATGAATTAGTAATTAATAATTATACATTTTTGTGATAATTGAATTATATTATTATTTTACAAACTTGTTTATTTTGGTAACAATTTTTGCATTATAGGCTCAGTTAATTCTACTTTATAAACAGTTAAAAAAAGGTGTTAGTTATATGTTCTCTGATTAGATGGCCATTTTGGGGTCCAACATATTCCTCCACCTCTGGTTGGTCGTCCTCATCCTCAATATCTAACATGGGCTCATTGAATGCAAGTGCAATATTGTGTAATATTGCACATGCACCAATGAGCTGGCACACCTTTTCAGGTTGCATTCTCACCTCCCCATGCAGTAGATGGAATCTCCGTTTAAGCATTCCAAAGGTTCTTTCAATCGTCACCCTTGTTTTCTTGTGTGCTCGGTTGAATGCCCTCTCATTTGGTGTGTTTGGGGTGCTGTATGGGGTCATTAAAAATGCCTTTAAAGGGTAGCCACTGTCACCAAGCAGAACACCATCATCTAGATCATGGTGGTGGTTCTCCAGGTGAGTGCATATGTTTGATGTACGCAGTATATGGCTATCATGTGTACTTCCTGGCCATCGAGCCACAATATTGATGAATTTTCCTAAAACGTTTTTGAAATATTTAGAAAATCCACCAACCAATAACCACTCCCTGTAGAAACACTAAGCCAAGAGAACAGTTCAAATACATATCCATGCTAGTAATGCAATTTAGAAAAAAAATCTGTAGTAGGGTGGGGAGACCTCAGTAAAGTGCCACACCCCCAAAATTAGTCATGAACAAGATCTGAAGTTAACAGCATTTCCATCAGTGTGTACAGGAAAATATGAATATACCTTCATGATCGCAAATTCCTTGTACATTGATCGAGTGATACCGCTTCCTGTTTACGTAATTGTTCTCGTGCACGTACGGAGCCTGAATTCGGATGTGGGTACAATCGATACACCCAATTACGCACGGAAAGCCAGCTAGTGCAAAAAAATTATTTTTGATGTCTGCGATTTCTACGTTTGTTGGCCATTTAATAAACTCTTGCTGTCTCCTGTTAAGTGCCAAGGACACATCTCTTACGACACGGGACACTGTACCCTTATCAACACCAAACGTATCTCCAACAACTTGTAAGAAGCTGCCTGTTGCGTAAAACCTCAGTGCGATGAGTACTTGTGAATCCGGAGAAAGAGCATGGCCGCGTTGTGTATCCCTGACAAGGTCATCGTAAAGCAGATTTGTTATGTAGTTGATGGCATTTCGGCCAAACCTATATCTTGCTCTTAACTGGCTGTCATTAAAGCCAATCACGTTTAGATTGCGTGGACGATATGTTCGTTCTTGACGTGGATAAACAACACGGAATAAATTGAACGGAGGGCCATCCATGTTGTTTATTTTTGTTTTTTTTATTTTAAAAGTGTTGGGCTAAAGTTAACCCACTGTTTGAGCTGGGTTAAATTTAGCCCATCGTTTGTCCCTGGGTTAGCGCTAGCCCACTTTTGAACAACGCAAATTAACCTAGGGATAAAATTTATTCCTGGGTTAGGCCATTTTAGCCCTGGGATAGCGTTAGCCGGCTTTTGAACAACCCGCCCCTGGACGATAACCTCTGGACGACAACATAGGGGTATAAAAAAAAAGGTAATCCAACTTCGACACGCTATTGTACGTGAACTGCACAGTCTATGAACAAAATTGTTTCACATTCGGAAAGATCAGGCTTTATATGTATATAGCTATCGGATGACATGCTTTTAATACCAAATGGTGAAAAAATGAGCACATACGAAGCTGTTAAAAAACGTTAGTTACAATCGCATATTTTCACCTTGAGCCTGATTAAAGCAGTGCATAACAAAAGAAACAAGACGCCTACTAGGCGTTATGGTCGCGTCGTTCACAGCGGCGTAGCCAGCTCAGCTATGCAAATTTTGTGTCGTGAATGTTCTTAATAATAAAAATGAACAATATACCGAACTATAGATCGCATGTTGAAAGCAGGAGAAACACAGAACAGCCCATTTTAAAACCACTCTACATCTTTTACTTAGGGTAGCCGATGTAGGCTTACTGTGCTCGGCGTGTGTGGTTGTATATATGTCTAATGAACGTAAAGATGAGGAAAGCGTTTGCTAGCATTTTGATCGCTTTCTTGAGGCTATCTTTAAAACAGGGAACGGGGAATAGGGGAATGGAACGGGGAATGGAACGGGGAATGGAACGGGGAATGGAACGGGGAATGGAACGGGGAATGGAACGGGGAATGGAACGGGGAATGGAACGGGGAATGGAATGGCTTCGGGGAATGAGCCGGGGAATGAAATGGCTTCGGGGAATGTGCAGCTTGTGCGTCAGTGATTAAAACCTGTAAACGCTTCCATGTCACGAATCATGAGACAGCTACTCACAGTTTGAATTCCTTGAGGTAAAAGACAAAGCGATTACAAGCTCATAGTATAAATGCGATGTTTGCATTGTCATTGTGATGTACATTGATGTACATTAATATATAGATAGAATTTGCATGGGTAGGTGGTTCAATGTAAATCCTCCAAAATCTGAAGGCAATTAGTATAATACTGTAATAGTATTTTTTGCAGAAATCTTTTTAGTTCTTACTATGCCTTATAAAGCTCAATGTGTGTGATTAAAAGGTGAATAAAGATACTGACACAGTGTCACTTGTTTGTTTTTTATTTCAGGCTATGTGAACAAGACCTCTGGACAGTTTGTTTAAGCAGGAATAATGGTTGTGGTGGAAATGTGGTGAATGCATTGTTGACAAGTTAATGGGTTTGCTTCCAAGAATACACTGAAACTTGGAGCAACAATGACTTTGAATATAATTATGTAATTAATATATTATATTAATCTTAATTTGTATGACTTTTTACCTCACATAATTCAAATAATGTTCAGATAAAGAGGTAAATATTTCACTGTTAATGGTGTAATAAATATTTTATATGTTGATTATATTCATAATGAATTATTTGTCCTGCTCCATACTTTGGCAATTCTGTTTAAGAAATCCCACCATAGTAGATCTTTTTTGAAATAGTTACAGTCAAGTTGTTGTCTAGTTTTAGTACAAAATAATACAAGTGCTACAATTAAACAAGGGAAAATAATAAAAATTAATTACATAAGCAAGCACATTTTCTATTTTGAAAAGGTCTATGAATTGAGATGACATGTACTAACAATTTTGTGCATTAATTAAAGACAATTGTATTATTACTGTGGGTTCTTTAATATTGTCCAATACTCCCAGTGACATCCCACTGAATTCCTGCAGGTGTCTCAATCCATCAAACCAGTTTATCTTTTATTTCTATATTTAAGTCAGAATCAATGTATTCAATATCAATATGTAAAAATAATATCTAAGTTCTACAACATTATTTTGACAAGTCTGTTAAAGGAGAAAAGCAATTTTTTCTCTTCATCAGAATTGAGAACCATGTTCTTGAAGCCAACCCCCTTCCTTGGCAGGATGATTATGGTACAAAATGAGAAGGGGGTGTTGAAAAATTTCTGGATTTCTTCTTGGGGGGTCTCCAAAAAGATAACATATTGATATTGAATACATTGATTCTGACTTTAATATAGAAATAAAAGATAAACTGGTTTGATGGATTGAGACACCTGCAGGAATTCAGTGGGATGTCACTGGGAGTATTGGACAATATTAAAGAACCCACAGTAATAATACAATTGTCTTTAATTAATGCACAAAATTGTTAGTACATGTCATCTCAATTCATAGACCTTTTCAAAATAGAAAATGTGCTTGCTTATGTAATTAATTTTTATTATTTTCCCTTGTTTAATTGTAGCACTTGTATTATTTTGTACTAAAACTAGACAACAACTTGACTGTAACTATTTCAAAAAAGATCTACTATGGTGGGATTTCTTAAACAGAATTGCCAAAGTATGGAGCAGGACAAATAATTCATTATGAATATAATCAACATATAAAATATTTATTACACCATTAACAGTGAAATATTTACCTCTTTATCTGAACATTATTTGAATTATGTGAGGTAAAAAGTCATATAAATTAAGATTAATAAATAATATATTAATTACATAATTATATTCAAAGTCATTGTTGCTCCAAGTTTCAGTGTATTCTTGGAAGCAAACCCATTAACTTGTCAACAATGCATTCACCACATTTCCACCACAACCATTATTCCTGCTTAAACAAAACTGCTTAAACAAAACTGCTTATTAAACAAAACTGCTTAAACAAAACTGAATTGAAGGTCCGGGTTAACGGACCGAAAGCTTTGCAGTATTTAATACTTACGTGGTGTACCTACAAGTTATTATAATTACTAAAGTCGCCATGCAATCATACAAGAAAATTATTAAACAAAACTGTCCAGAGGTCTTGTTCACATAGCCTGAAATAAAAAACAAACAAGTGACACTGTGTCAGTATCTTTATTCACCTTTTAATCACACACATTGAGCTTTATAAGGCATAGTAAGAACTAAAAAGATTTCTGCAAAAAATACTATTACAGTATTATACTAATTGCCTTCAGATTTTGGAGGATTTACATTGAACCACCTACCCATGCAAATTCTATCTATATATTAATGTACATCAATGTACATCACAATGACAATGCAAACATCGCATTTATACTATGAGCTTGTAATCGCTTTGTCTTTTACCTCAAGGAATTCAAACTGTGAGTAGCTGTCTCATGATTCGTGACATGGAAGCGTTTACAGGTTTTAATCACTGACGCACAAGCTGCACATTCCCCGAAGCCATTTCATTCCCCGGCTCATTCCCCGAAGCCATTCCATTCCCCGTTCCATTCCCCGTTCCATTCCCCGTTCCATTCCCCTATTCCCCGTTCCCTGTTTTAAAGATAGCCCTTTCTTGATGCATGATAACTAGCAACTTACCTGTGCGCAGGTTCCCGATTAGGGTAATATGGCCTGCAGCTAGCGACGCTGGGGGTCGACCCGAGAGGAAAATAATAATAATAAAAAAACTAAGCCGAAACTATAGGTCGCTGTCGCTACGCGACGCGACCAAAAAACAATTAATTACGAACATGTCTCATCTTGCACTGTTTTTTTTCAACATGTTTATTGCAATTATTTACAGTCACAGTTTTTAAAAAGAGATTATGCGCCGATGCTTCAACTTGACCAGCATTGCTTGGAATGTTCTCCTGATGTGATTTATTCCTACTTAATATGCTTATGCGGGTAAATTCTTCAATTAAGTCCCAAAGGGAGTTAATTTTCAATGGTTTTAGTCAAACTCTCAGAGGTGAAAATATGCGATTTTGACTAACACTTTGTATCAGTCTCATATATTCTCATTTTTTTACCATTTGGTATTATAAACATCTCATTTGATAGATAAGAGCCTAAACTTTTCGCATGTGAAAAAATTTTGTTAATGGAATGAGCAGTTCACGTGCAATAGTGCGCCAAGTTGGATTACCTTTTTTTTATACACTCTGTATATTCTAATAAAATTCTACATTTTCAATACAGGGTGAATAAAAAAAGAAGGCTTTTAGAAATTAAACTATTGTTATAATTACGTCACTACGCTAAGGTTACGTCACTATTGTTATAATTACGTCACAAGGCATTTAAATTATAACAATAGTTTGATCTAAAGGTCTTATTTTTTTATACACCTTTGCATACGACTGAAAGCATTGCCGTCAATCGTATCGAACGTTAATTAAAGGAGACCATATTCTGCTGTGCCTGCATGGATAATTTCTTTTGGAAACAATTTCAGTTTCAATAAAAACCAGCCTGGCATAAAAGAATATATGAATATCGTCTCCCCTCGATTAGCATTCGATTGAGTACGATCGAATACTGAAGGAATTATGAACACCTATTTGTTAAATAGAAATCAATAGTGTACAGGTAAACTGTATCTTGATGTCAAATACCAAAATAGAGATTTATCTAATCATCATGGGTAATTTTCGTTTCAATCACTGGGACTGTTCCTGGGAAATTTTGCCCGCAGGAAAATCAGCTAGGGGGTGGGCTATGGCAGCGAAGCGTAGCGTGGCGTATGTGATTGTTTCTATATGATTGAAATGACAAATATATGCTATTTTTATACGGTAGCAAAGTGTACAGGCAGTGGCGTAACTACAGAGTGAATGAAAAAGTACCCCCTAATAAATCAAGCATATATTGGAATCACATTTCAAATTACAGCTTCATTTCAAATTACAAAAAGCTTGTTGCGCGTCAATTTTCTGAAACCTAGGTTGAACACGATGATTCGAAATTGAACACTAGCACTAGCTCCAGAAGTGGTACTTAACAAGGTCAGAGGCATTGTTGTCAGCATGTCAGTACCACAGTTAATTGAACCAGTTTTGACTTTGAGCATCGGTGCCGGGTACTTGGTCTGAACCAGGCCTAACACAATCACAAGCTTTATACTGGGAACTTTGAAGGGAGGGGGGGGGGCCGGGGGGAGCTATGCATTGTGCTCTCTTGCACGGCTAGAACATTAATTAATTTTCCGTCCTTCTTCCATTAATCAAAGATACATTTTGTAGCTCTCATATTTCATATTAAAACAGGTTAGAGCCTCTGGATCATGATTGTTGAAACTGTTTTCTCCTTGTTTCTGGTGTGGTTCGCTTGGTATGCAGTCAATACATACACAAAGCGAAGAAACATGCCTCCTGGACCGTTCCCATATCCGTTCCTTGGCAACCTTCCTCAAATCATCGCTGCAGATCCCGTGATGCCCTTTACCGAACTAGCAAAAAAATATGGAGATATTTACACACTTACACTCCCCGATGGCCGAGATGGTGTGGTTTTGAACACTGCTTCGCTTGCGCGCGACGCAAGACGAGCAGGACGGCAAGAGGACCTTGCAGGAAGATCGGAAAAGATTTCAGACCCTTGGAGGAAGATGTTCGGTAAAGATGTGCTCACGTCCGATTATTCATCCGAATTTCGTTTTCGGAAGAGGGTGTTGTTATCTGCTCTGCATGTTTTTGGCCCCGCGATAGAACAAGTGACCGATCGTGCCAGACATGCTGTTGATACTATGGTCGAAGAGATCGAGTCGAAGCCCGGACATGCATTTTCGCCTAAAGAACTTATGGAATCTGCCATTCTAGTCCAGCTTTGGAAGTGGCTCACATCGAAAGATGTTAGCTTGAATGATCCAACAGTGAAAAAACTGGCCGAGTTTGCAGAACTATTTGCAAAACAAGCTATCCTCAATCCTGTATTTCAGCTTTTTCCATTTCTGACGTATCTTCCAACGTCATTTTCTCGAGATGTCCAACGGGCACAAGAGATCCGGGACTCTTTATTCCCACCGGAATATCGAGTTCACCGGGAAAGTTACTGCCCGAGTGTTCTACGCGATCTTACCGATAGCTTCATCAGTGCTTACGAAAAGGAGATTAGTAAGGAGAATTCGAAAGACGTTGGCTCTATAGACGATATACCATACCTAATGCTGAATGTTGCTATGGGCGGATCAGAAACAACCTCAAGTTCGCTTACTTGGTTTTTTCTATTCATCGTCTTGCATCCCCATGTACAGACTAGGATTCAGGAAGAACTTAACGAGATCGTAGGCAGAGATCGTTTGCCCCGTTGGGCGGATTTACCGAACTTGCCATACTTACAAGCTACTTTGTGTGAAACTCAAAGAGCATCCAACGTAATCCCTGTTGTCACGACGGATGCATATCGTGACACAACAATCGCTGGGTATCACATTCCAAAAGGTACGTCCATTTACCTGAATTTGTCAAAAATTCATCACGATGAACGGGAATGGGTCGAACCAGATGAGTTTAGGCCCAAACGATTTCTCGACAGTGATGGAAAGTTTGTAGGCTGGAACAAACTACACAGTTTTTTACCTTTTGGCGTTGGCCGTAGAGAATGTCCTGGCCCATCCTTGGCAAAGGTGATGATGTTCACGTTTGCGTCAGTTTTATTACATCGTTACAACTTTTTGTTGCCTGATGGAGCGGAAAGACCAACCACTAAGGTTTCTTTCCCCGCAGCAATACTTCGTCCAAATGATTATCAAATAGTTGCAAAGCCACGAAGTTTTAGGATATCTTAAATTAATTTTGGACGAACCAGACTGTTTCTGCCCACCTTAACGAAGTAACATTGCCAACAATTTTCACTTGTGTAAGCGCTGCACTTAAAATAATTTATTTCACTATTAGCCTGATCCAGAGTTACTGGCTATTCTTTTTGGTTGAGAGAAGTACAGTGTTTTCATTCATTGCACATCAGCCCACTTGATGAATTTTCTAAAAATAGACCAAATAGACCAGAATCTTCAATGCATTGGTGGTGTGCCCTCAGCAACTCGGGAGTTCTATTTCGTTCCTACCAGAAGACCGATAGTTGCACATTTTCCCAGCTGCATGTTCCTAGCTTGAATTTGACATGTGTACGGTATCTTATATTTTTCTCGAAGTAACCGTTTTCTGGATGCCTGGATTGCATGGTTGTGATTCGCTAGTTACTGTATATGAGCTGTTCTGCAATCTGATTGGTGGAGATGCTCACCAGATATCAGCTCATAGATTACGAAAATCACTAAGCTGCCGACACTACCGCTATCATTTTCAAAAGGAAGAAGACCTTTGACATTCAAAGTTCAAATTCGGTTAAATCATGTGATCAAATCGGTTCATTTGTTTTAGTTATAAATTTACGCGCGAATCGTACAGTAGGCTACTACAAAAATGCATTTTGACGAACATACAGCTAAGAAAAGGCCTCGGAGAAGGATGAACGCTCTCTTATTGCAGTTAAATTTGTTATTGTTAAATTTCATATAATGTTCATGAAATGGAATTCATATATAGTAGCTATATTATAAAACAATTACACCACTCACTCTCGTTGTATATGGCTGATAGCCAACTCGGTGGTACGCATCTCGTCGGCTACAGCTCATATACGACTCGAGCTACTAGCACTGAATCCCCGAGAATTTGCTTACGCCCGGGAGATTTTGATTACGCCCGGGAATGCAAATGCGAAATGAAAGTTGTCCGCCATTATGTCATGGACGTTGGGCGTTTTTGTAAGTTATGCGCATGTGTGAATTTAAGACGAGTTAAAACTGGTAACCATGCAGCAAACGTTTGCAAGCGTGCGATTGGCTAAATTAAAATTTTGGTTCGCGTCAGCATAACTGATATTTTGAATTATAAAACTTTTTTAAAAATATTTTTCATTTGGATGGTTTTGAAAATATACGGAAAAATTCACTCGTAAAAATGATTAAAATGTAAAGTAGATGATGCTTTCGGATAGAAAAACTTTGATTCAAATAGATGGTGAAAAATCTACGATTTTAAAGCATTTTTGGAGTGTTTTTGAACAGGTAAATAGGTAGATTTTGTATTTTAAAGCATGCAAGTATTTCGTAGTTTAACTTGTAGATTTATGAACAAACGTACGACACCTCTTTGAATTTATTCGTCAATTTCGTTAAAATGATTTTGATTGGGAAAGCATATATTTTTAAGGTCAATCTGTTTAAAAAGGAATTGAAATTTCGCTAAAAATTGTAGTATTAAAACTATTCGTAGCACAATTTATAATGAATTACGATTATAGTTGAATGTCGACTTATAAATTGTACCAAGATATAGGATTTTACTTGCACGGGTTCGATCATTCAGCAGAAACGAGTGTTATAGAATTTCAGTGATGGAAATATAAGAAATATAAATATCGCTTCAGGCGAGGGGACTTTGCATGCAATGTATTTCTAGTTGTTAATTATTTCACTTCAAAGTTAACTTTTAAAGCAATTTGTAGACAACATTAAAAACTGTGGGACCTCAATGGATTTTTTAAAACGAGATAAGCTATAGCAAGGATTCAGACGCCTTTGCTATGTTAGCTCGAGCACTTCTTACTAAAATGATAAATCATTTATAAAATTTTATACGTTGAGCTAGTGTTTTGCGAGTAGGGCCACATTAAAAAACTGAAAAATAAACAGTTGCGAAAAAAAGGGTTTTTTTTCTCCTGCATGAGAAAAGCCAAAATACATCGTTCATCGTTATGGCCTTCTCGAACTCAACTTGAAATTTATATTTTTATATTTCCGAACTCACCGGTGAATTCCAGATTTTCAAGATGGCCGCGGAAAATTGTTTGGCAAAATCAGCAAACAATGGCAATTTTTTCGCAGAATACGTGCATTTTCTCCTTCGAAAGTAAGGGAGCATTTTAGATTTTTTTTGCTTTAATTCGAGCGTAATAGCGAGTGTTTATGTTGCCGTGTTTGCGACTAGAATATTCGTTTTTTGAACAAGAAATTACGTACTAAAAATTTTACAATGCGTAACTTTCTGAACTCTTTTTCCCGAAAAGGCATGAGAAAAAAACTAAACATACTTGCAGGTTTCACCTCCCTGCAAGTATCCATGCATGTTTATTATAAAACCCACTTACCGAACCCCGCGCCGAACTTATTATTACTTTAGTAAAATAACCACCGGTCCAGGCTATCATTCCACATTAAGAAGCTGTTTACACGAACCCGCGGTTATACCCGAGTTTCAAAGAAACGTGAGTGGATTTTGAGGTATTTTTTTAATAAGTCTTTATGCCGAAACCAAACAAGCACATGATATTGTCAGGATGATTACATCACTGATAGGATAATGTTATATACTCACCTCGACACCTCAAGCTAATCTCACGCTTCGACGAAGCTCGTCTAAACGGGATCATGTAAACAGCACCTAAAGCCTGGTTTCCAGTCAGGAAAGTTTAAACATGCAGTCCAGTACGGTTTCTTTTCTGCTAAAGACAATTAGTTGAGAAAAAAATGATAAAAGAGACGTTTCTGCCCGATACGGTCCGAAGAATATGATTTTTCTGACTGGAAACTAGCCTTAGAAAGAGTAGAATATAGTTTGGTACTAGATCGGAAGTAAAATTGATCAAATCAGAATAAAGTGAAGCAAATTTATTTATAAACGTAATCACACGGTATTTTCAAAAAAGGTGGTACAACATATTTAGCCGGAAAGTTTTAAAACTTTAATAGCTGTAACCCAGGATGAAGAATTCACTGAAAATAGGTACTTTTTCTCCAACTTTCTGGCATTTCGTCTGGCGTCTGCAAGCAATGCTTTTGCCTTTTGCCCCTGGATTTTCAGCGTCAATCAATTGTACAGTAACTTGCCCTGAAGAAAATGTTAAAAGCTTTTAGTGAGCAGACGTTCTACAAGAACCGCGAATATTGAAAATTACCTACCGTATCCTGAAAAAACAGGAAGCCAAAGGTTGGCGGAATTGAGAGAAACATCCTTGGATGCAGCAACATTCATGTACTGGGTGAAGGACCGCGTGCCATCTGTGGTTTGGATTCTATAGTAATAACGATGAAATTCCTCGTCACTCTGGGTTGTGGCCCAGAGATAAACGAGAATCTCTCTTGCATTCGGAGGGATCTTGGCATCCGAAAGTTCATAAATGATTGAATTACCGCTTATTTCGGGCAATTCACCATAGTTATGCAGCTCGTCTTCAGAGATTGGAGTGTATGCCATTTCGTGACGTTTTACAACAGTTAAATTCTGAAACAAATAACATATAATGAAAACTATTTAAGAAACCACGAAAATCAAAAAGATATTTATTTATATTTATATATTATAAAACAATTACACCACTCACTCTCGTTGTATATGGCTGATAGCCAACTCAGTGGTACGCATCTCGTCGGCTACAGCTCATATACGACTCGAGCTACTAGCATAATCCCCGAGCGGGCGAGGGTACTAATTCCGCCCGGAGATTTTGATTACGCCCGGGAATGCAAATGCGAAATGAAAGTTGTCCGCCATTATGTCATGGACGTTGGGCGTTTTTGTAAGTTATGCGCATGTGTGAATTTAAGACGAGTTAAAACTGGTAACCATGCAGCAAACGTTTGCAAGCGTGCGATTGGCTAAATTAAAATTTTGGTTCGCGTCAGCATAACTGATATTTTGAATTATAAAACTAAAATCAAAAAGATATTTATCACGAAATATTAGCACGATAATTTATCACGATATTTAGCACGAAAATCAAAAAGATATTTATCAAAAACCACAACGATCCGGAACATCTTGTGAACAATTTGTGAGGTAATGAATATCGCATGTATAATTGTGTATACTAACTAATCATTGTATTTCATTTATGCAAAATAGCTTTCAACTTTTACTATAAAAATAGCCTATTTAGTCGCTGTTGGCCTAGGCCCTGCATGCCCACCACGGTTTGTCTACCTCTCCTGGATCAACAGAACTACGGTTTCACAGTAGTTTCCGCATTGTTGAACCTTTTTGAACCATCAATAAAACAACTGGCCGCAACAACATTGATGTTCAACAAGGTTTGTTCTCAGGAATATTTTTAACAATACTGCTCCATGAGGTGGCAGGGGTGCAGCCAATGACCTATATTAGATGGACTAAGCGCTCGCCGCTCGAGGCCTAAATGTGTCCCCGCCGTTGCTCACGTCATATAGGTCAACGCGTCGATGAAAATTACCGCAGACTGATTTTTTTTAGTTTGTGGGCGCGCTTAGATTATTAAAAACGTTTTTAGTGAGTGTATTGTGCAAATTTGACGATCTGTAAAAAAGAAGGATATTACTTCTGATATTCGAGGAGTGCTTTTCAAGATGTTCAAGATGCGGTGTTTTCAATAGTTTTGTCACATCTTCGTGCAAAAAATATTAACAAGGACAGTACACGTACGCAAACGAATAAATAATTCTGCCCAATATCGATTTAAAATGCTTACATATTTGTAAATTTGTGCATTATATTTACTTGTTGTGAAATATTCTAGTCAATTGTCTGAGTGTCCATGATAGAGCATTAAAAATTTTGACTAAAGAATTGTCGTTATATGCATTTGAATACGTTGATATATGATTAATATGAAGCCGGGTTTATAACTATGCCGCTCTGCAGTTATTGTCATTGTATACCTCGGTATTTAAAAAAATGAAATAAACGTTCCGTTCATGTTTTGTTTTTTCATTTTTCGGCTCGAGTTTATATTTATCAACGGCAAAAATGCTTCGAACGCAATCGCTCGTGAGTTTAACGTAACAAACTTGTTCGTGTTCTTTAGAACAGTTCTTTAGAATAGATCGCGCTTTCAGTCAATAATGTAATATTATGGTCACTAAGGTCAGTGGGTGCAGCACAACATTGTTGACTCCTAAAATTCTTTGTTGAATTTTGAAACAATTCGCTAACCATATCCGGGTATGAAATTCCTCCCATAAAAGTAGATTACCCCCCCCATATACGGATGAAAGGGATGCCGCCAATGACGTCACAATGGGTGTGCATGGGGATGCCACGTGAACATTATGTGGGGATACATGATAGTTTCGCGTGAACATCATAGATGATACATTTTGCGTACAATGACGTCATACTAAATGTACACGGGAGTTTCACGTGTACATTATGCGTTTGATGTGTGTAGTGTTTATAGGGTATGATATAGGAATCAGGAACAGATTTTAGTATGAATTATTTATTATTTCGATTTGTTGAAAAATCATGGTACAGTTCGATTTGTTTGTGAAATAATTTTTATTAATATAATTTAGGTACTCTACGACTATTAAATAGATAGTGATTTAGGATACGATTAACTATTGTTCTAAAGGCACTTAAACTTACGGTTCGTTGTATTTTGATGAAATGTGCGATCATCAATAAGTAAAAATTAATGTTTGAGGGAAATAAGAACGAGTTTAGTAGAAACATTTGATCACGTCTTAGCATGCAGTCGGTGACTTCTATCCACCAATTATTATCATAACTCATCGGCCATGACGTTTCGCCAATGTACACGCTGTACCCGATTGGTTCTTTGACGTTCACATAGTAGCCATATTTCTTTTGTCGCATAGGCGGTTTGTTTGAGTATACGCGGAACACTTTACCCTTCCTACCGAAATTATATTCACGTTTTGTACAGAATCCAACTTTGAGACTTGAGGATTTCATCATCTATCAGAAACTCAGTCACCCACATTAGCTTTTCAGTTATTTGTTTTTCAGTGTCAAAGTTATTCTGAGTCTTCGATAACGTTAGGAGTACAGTTTTAACGACGAGATCTTTTAGAGTCTGCACACGCTCCATCGCCAAGGGTTATGTACAACTGAACCGCATTTTATTAAGTGACTGTTGATATTGCACAACATCACATGCGTAATGAATACATTAACATACCATGTGAGCATTGTATACAGGATTTGAATAATTAAACAATGTATACGTATACAGATAGATTAACAATGTACACGTGTACGACGTTGACGCGATGTTCGCGTTAACATTTCACGTGAACATTGTATACGGTATGCGTGTTGTATGCGTATACAGATAAATAGATCATGTATATGTATACGACGCTGATCTGATGTACGCGTTAACATTTCGACGATGCTCGTTTGCAATGGTTTCCTTAAGAAAGGTTTAGTAAACCATTTGGCTAGGTTTTAGATTCTAATCTCATCATCATCATCGTCATCATCATCACTGCCTTTATTTTTTTTCACATCTTCAATCTCGTGGTCGTTTAAAAGCCTTTTAATGAGGAACTTTCTCTTATCAACTGCAGCTTCTATTGCTTCTTCTGGGTCAAAATCATCATTTTGAATAAACGCATCTTTTGTGTGCATTATTTTCTTATGTACTGGATCTTTTTTCATTTGTCTCATCCACAAAAGGCGCTCTAAGTAGATATTTTCTAATTCTTTCTGGAGTCTAGGCATAACATTGAAGTAAGCTTTCTCTTTAGCGGTATGCTGATCGAAACCACTGCTTATAAGACTTTCTTCCATTTCCTCAAAAGCTGTGTTACTTCTTTGTTTTGCTTCTTCTATTAACGGTATCCAGGGTCCATTTCTTCATAACATTCCGAGTCAGTCGTCTTCGAACTTCCAGACTGCTGGGTGGAAGTGGTCGAGACATCATCTTGGAAATCTCTTTCTTGACTGTCCGAGTCTGTTTGAGACATGTTTCTTTCTTGTTCTCGTAGTGGACAGTAATCCCGTTCGTGTCTGCGCTGATTGTAACCGCGGCTAAAGTATCTTCCGCAAAATTGACAGCTCATTCCCTTACCACTGGAGGAGTGGGAATGCCTTGTTATCGAGCAGTAATGCAGTTTTATGAGCAAATGAGCATGTGTTCATGAGCAGTTATGAGCATGTGCTCATCTGCTCATCGCATAAAACTTTACCCGGTTCATAGAGATTTTTTAGGCCCAAACTCCTATAGTTAAGAATGCGAGAATGTGCTCATAACTGCTCATGAGCACATGCTCATCGGTCCATCGGCCAAAATCATGGGTACTCGATTTTTGAATATATTGATATTGATTCAGTGTCTTTTTCAACCTTTGATATAGCAACTTCAAGTGCTCAAGCTAAACACATTTTGTCAGTGTAATTAATACGAATAATTGATCGCTTGCTGATCAAGTAAATTGATCTCATATCGTTTCTTTCCGGTGCCTCCGTTGGGCATCTCAACGTTTCACAATATTAACATTTACTGAGTCGTTTAATCTGAATCCCCGATTAGATTGAATAACTCGTTCAATTTAAAATGAACTTTAATTTCTCACTAGATATAAAGTGTAAAGGGTAATTATTCACTTATTTTGATAAAGCTCTGGCACAAATTTGCAGAGGAAGGGTCACGCATGCGCAAGCGTTTACCCGGCGTCTCAGCGATATAAAACCCCGCGTTAGTGCAATCAAAATGCACAAGTACACACGCATCAATCGGAAAACCACGTTCCGTACGGATCATAGACAAGAATTGAGGCAAAGAGTGCTTTATTTGCTGTAAAAATGAAAGTAGCTGACTTAATCTTTTATTGGGGGGAAGATGCCGTGCACCCAATTATCTACATGACCTTATCCAGCTTTGAAAACAAAATCTTATCCACGCTGGTAAAAGACGAAAACGAATGGAAGATTGTTTTTGATGAAAGACAAACATTTACAAATAAAGAGTTTGTTCGAAAGTTATGGTGTGCATGCGTAGATCACGGATACGTTGATCTCAAATATTGGGTTTTTAAACACTATGTCGACAAGATAGACATTCATGTACTAAGTGATAAACGCTCATGATTTTAAAAAATAGCATAATCAAGCATTTACAGATGGAGAAATTATAAAAAAGGTTTGGCACAGGTGTATATTCCAAGGATTTATTGACGATAAATAATACACTGATGATGGGAATCTTGTTGATAAAATTGTGTTTGTCATTTTTACTCTTAACGTTAACGCCGGGTAAACGCTTGCGCATGCGTGACCCTTCCTCTGCAAATTTGTGCCAGAGCTTTATCAAAATAAGTGAATAATTACCCTTTACACTTTATATCTAGTGAGAAATTAAAGTTCATTTTAAATTGAACGAGTTATTCAATCTAATCGGGGATTCAGATTAAACGACTCAGTAAATGTTAATATTGTGAAACGTTGAGATGCCCAACGGAGGCACCGGAAAGAAACGATATGAGATCAATTTACTTGATCAGCAAGCGATCAATTATTCGTATTAATTACACTGACAAAATGTGTTTAGCTCGAGCACTTGAAGTTGCTATATCAAAGGTTGAAAAAGACACTGAATCAATATCAATATATTCAAAAATTTGGTACCCATGATTTTGGCCGATGGACCGATGAGCATGTGCTCATGAGCAGTTATGAGCACATTCTCGCATTCTTAACTATAGGAGTTTGGGCCTAAAAAATCTCTATGAACCGGGTACAGTTTTATGCGATGAGCAGAGGAGCACATGCTCATAACTGCTCATGAGCACATGCTCATTTGCTCATAAAACTGCATTACTGCTCGATAACAAGGCATTCCCACTCCTCCAGTGGTAAGGGAATGAGCTGTCAATTTTGCGGAAGATACTTTAGCCGCGGTTACAATCAGCGCAGACACGAACGGGATTACTGTCCACTACGAGAACAAGAAAGAAACATGTCTCAAACAGACTCGGACAGTCAAGAAAGAGATTTCCAAGATGATGTCTCGACCACTTCCACCCAGCAGTCTGGAAGTTCGACGGTGTCTGACTCAGAATCTGAAGAAGAAATGGATCCCTGGATACCGTTAATAGAAGAAGCAAAACAAAGAAGTAACACAGCTTTTGAGGAAATGAAAGAAAGTCTTATAAGCAGTGGTTTCGATCAGCATACCGCTAAAGAGAAAGCTTACTTCAATGTTATGCCTAGACTCCAGAAAGAATTAGAAAATATCTACTTAGAGCGCCTTTTGTGGATGAGACAAATGAAAAAAGATCCAGTACATAAGAAAATAATGCACACAAAAGATGCGTTTATTCAAAATGATGATTTTGACCCAGAAGAAGCAATAGAAGCTGCAGTTGATAAGAGAAAGTTCCTCATTAAAAGGCTTTTAAACGACCACGAGATTGAAGATGTGAAAAAAAATAAAGGCAGTGATGATGATGACGATGATGATGATGAGGATTAGAATCTAAACCTAGCCAAATGGTTTACTAAACCTTTCTTAAGGAAACCATTGCAAACGAGCATCGTCGAAATGTTAACGCGTACATCAGATCAGCGTCGTATACATATACATGATCTATTTATCTGTATACGCATACAACACGCATACCGTATACAATGTTCACGTGAAATGTTAACGCGAACATCGCGTCAACGTCGTACACGTGTACATTGTTAATCTATCTGTATACGTATACATTGTTTAATTATTCAAATCCTGTATACAATGCTCACATGATATGTTAATGTATTCATTACGCATGTGATGTTGTGCAATATCAACAGTCACTTAATAAAATGCGGTTCAGTTGTACATAACCCTTGGCGATGGAGCGTGTGCAGACTCTAAAAGATCTCGTCGTTAAAACTGTACTCCTAACGTTATCGAAGACTCAGAATAACTTTGACACTGAAAAACAAATAACTGAAAAGCTAATGTGGGTGACTGAGTTTCTGATAGATGATGAAATCCTCAAGTCTCAAAGTTGGATTCTGTACAAAACGTGAATATAATTTCGGTAGGAAGGGTAAAGTGTTCCGCGTATACTCAAACAAACCGCCTATGCGACAAAAGAAATATGGCTACTATGTGAACGTCAAAGAACCAATCGGGTACAGCGTGTACATTGGCGAAACGTCATGGCCGATGAGTTATGATAATAATTGGTGGATAGAAGTCACCGACTGCATGCTAAGACGTGATCAAATGTTTCTACTAAACTCGTTCTTATTTCCCTCAAACATTAATTTTTACTTATTGATGATCGCACATTTCATCAAAATACAACGAACCGTAAGTTTAAGTGCCTTTAGAACAATAGTTAATCGTATCCTAAATCACTATCTATTTAATAGTCGTAGAGTACCTAAATTATATTAATAAAAATTATTTCACAAACAAATCGAACTGTACCATGATTTTTCAACAAATCGAAATAATAAATAATTCATACTAAAATCTGTTCCTGATTCCTATATCATACCCTATAAACACTACACACATCAAACGCATAATGTACACGTGAAACTCCCGTGTACATTTAGTATGACGTCATTGTACGCAAAATGTATCATCTATGATGTTCACGCGAAACTATCATGTATCCCCACATAATGTTCACGTGGCATCCCCATGCACACCCATTGTGACGTCATTGGCGGCATCCCTTTCATCCGTATATGGGGGGGGTAATCTACTCATAAATATAAGCACTTTCTATATCATAGCTACGTTGAGAAAACACAGCGAAGACTTGAGCGATATATATATTAAATTTGGCGGATTGCAGAAGTGCCCAATGTAAAAAAAGCTGTAACCAAACAGTTTTAATAAAGCTGTTGGTCTGATAGGTGATATTTCTGAACTCAATCTAGTCCCGGCCTTCCGTGTCTGTGCGTCTTCGAGTTCAAGTGATTTGCATGGGTCGAATACAATTCACAAAAAATAACCCGTCTGAATACGACCATTCAATATTCATATGATCAGGGGCCGGTTGTATCAAGCCCGTTTAGCTTAAATGGTGGATAAGTCAAAATGAAACAACACTCTTACAACTCTCTTGAATGCGTCAACTTGAATATTATGCACTGAATATATGTAGTTGTAAACAGTATCTTTGTATTAATGTCAAAAACATTTAGTTAACTTGTTGAATAAAACGGCAGCGTGTTTTGAACTTAACTTATCGCTTAAGCTAAACGGGCTTGATACAACCGACCCCATGGGGCCGTTTTATTCAACAAGCAATTGAAGCAAACTATAGATGTTTTTAACCTTAATACAACGATACTGTTTACAACTATACATATTCATGCATTGAATAATATTCAAGTTCACTCATTCAAGAAAGATGTAAGAGTGCATGTTATTTAACTTTGACGTATTCCCCGTTCAAGCTAAACGGGCTTGATACAACCGGCCCCAGATGGATAAATTCATGGGTTGGGTAATGCTAAAAAGGTATCGTAATTCTTATATACGCGATAATAATTTTGTTTTTTTCTCAAAGCGTTGTTCCGTCTTTGACCCCGTTGGCGTTGATATTTTAGAAACTCGTCTAATTTACCCATCAAAATACAATTTTAAGACGAGTTTCTCGTCTAGACGGGATTCCCGACCAACTCAGTACCCGTCTTTAGACGGGAAAGTTAGACGGGAAAGTTCGGGAAAGATTCACACAGTTTCCCGTCTTCGATGAGTTTCCCATAAATCTAAGACGAGTTTCCGTCTCTAATCATAATGAATTGGCTAACGGATTAGCAAGGACTTACCTCAGGCTCAGTTTTGGAATAATGTAACTCGCTTCAGCGAAGTCAAGAGATTCGTCTATGATATATCGCAAACGGATTTTGTGGGTAGCCCGTTCGCGGGTTAACCACTATGCTACACGCGGAAAAACGATGAGCGATGATGCATCTGTCCGCCGAGTTTGTTTATCGACGAAAGAGACTGGGCGGAGCTGGAATTTTGTCAGCCTGATCGATGTAAACTGGCCTAAACTTTCTGAGAAATTAATCGCCGAAATGGTATTTCATTGGTATTTAATTAATTATTCCTATATCTACTTTGTTATAACTGTATCCAACTAGCAAACTAGCCCATTTTTGCCTTTGCGTATGGCATTAGAACGTAAAACTAAGCATCATGCAGTTGATTTATTAGCGTCTATTTCATCGTTGTCGATGATAATAAGCTTTCTGTCAGTAATTTTTAGCTTGTCGGTTGTTGTCGGTTATTAGTAGGACCCTTTCCCCGCGCCATTATTGACATTGAACAAAACTTGAAAATCTTTGCCAAGTTTGGGGCTACCCACATGCATGTATGCATTGCATACTTATTTTTAAAGTGCTACTGCAACGAAATTTTCGACCCCTTTTTTATTGGCTCAATTTAAAGTATTCACTTTCCTGATTTCATTTCTGAAAAAAGAATCGAAATTGGCTTTCTCAAAAGATTTTTATAGCTCTCCAAAGTCGCGATTTTTGCCACTTCCTGTGCGAACTTTTGCTCCGCCATATTGTGGTTTGTGACGTAGAAAAGAGTACCGATTCTTAGCATGGCGTAAAAATACTAGTGTTAAGTAGCCTCGTCGACGAAGAAGCTCTGTTTCTTACAGTCCCTACTAAGCCAGTATTCATCAAAATTATTAAATATCTATACATATGTTCCTAACGAAAAGATGGATCGCCAAAGTCGAAGAAAATATTGAATTTTTTTTCGACTTTCTGCTTCATGGTTCGCGGTTCTTTGCGCGGCTAAGTCAATTTCAATGATTCGTATATGACTCTTGTTTAGCAAGATCCCTTAAATAAAAGAGTATTTAAAGAAGATTCTGTGCATACATTTGATGTCTGAAGAATCGTAGCACAAGTTGAAAGCTAACAGATATATAGGCAAAGGCTGATTTTATCATCAATGCGAAGATACTTCGCGCGCACATGCATTCATGATGAATTATAGTGATGTTGGCCTTGGTGTCTTAATGTGCACGGCCAGTGTCGTTTCTTGAGACATTGAAGTTCAATTTAAATCAGCAAGGATGGTGTTTCTTGAGTATTTATGTAGATAAACGGACCTGTGTTAGTGTTTCTTTGATATATTTCGATACGCGCTATTGCAAAACAGTGGCAATGTGGCATTTACCATAGTGCAGTATCATATTACTGTTTATGATTTGCGGGAATATAATGGGGTTATGCAATAACCAAGGTTAACAACGAGGAAACCGGTCAGTGACGTCAGGTAAGCACGTGACCGAATGGGAGGGGCGAGTGGAGGCAAGGTGCGGAGCAGAGCCCGCAGAGGGCATTAACAACCCGTCGGCGAACGAGCGACAACGCCAACAACAGCAGCTTGTGGTAAAGTGCTATTAGTAAATTTCTTTCTTTCTCTGTTTGTGAGTTAACTTGGCTGGTATTCACATCATTATGAACGATAACCCAAAGGCAAAGGAAACTCAAGCGTCTAGTTCGGACAACCTGGCGACCACGGGCATTTCATGGGAAGCCGCTTTCAAATCAGCGGAGTTTGTCAGTGGTTTTAAATCCTTAGTGAATGAAGTGCTTCACGAGGCAAGAGGGCCTGTAGAACGGGCCCAACAACTAGAGCAGCTCGGAGACCCGGCGCGCACTTTTCGAAATGACCCAGCGACGGATCCAAGTCAAGGTATGTTGAATGTCCCGTCATTCATCCCAACTAATCAGGATAGTGCACACACGGGTCCCCCAGCCAACAACCAATCGAACATAAATTCTGCTGTAGATAACCAAACTGTCGAACAGTTAAATCGCCCTAGCACGGTCGGGGCGTTGTATAATGCTAGCCCTGAAAGCGCCTTTGTCCTCGGTCCTGGCCGGTCGCCAATCCCGGCCAAGCTGGTGAAAAAGATCGTGTCGCACGAATTTATTGATTTATCTGAACTGATTCCTGAGAATCTAGAAGAACCGCCAAACGAGTTGCCCTCCTTTTCTATAGTGGGGGCCCAAATTGTTACTAAACCACAACCGGGGAAAAAACGGGACATCTCGGACATTCTTACCTGGGTGGAATGCTTTAACAGTTACACGGCCGTCCTCACCAGCTTTTTCCCGACGCGCGCTCGCGACCTGTTAGCGTACATGGCGCTAATAATTCGCACATCGAAGCGGTTCGGTGGCATGGGCTGGTTTCATTACGATCGCGCATATCGCCGAGAAGCTGCGGCTAGCAACAGTCGCGATTGGAGCATGATGAGGCCCGACTTGTATCATTACCATACCGCGGTGACTAATACTCGACAGCTGGACCTGATTAAAAAGGATACGCCCCCCAATACGTCAGGTAACCGGAGCTTTCGCGAAGAACCCCGGGGAAGTTCCACCGGTCGGCTACTCTGCCACTCGTGGAATGCCGGGTTTTGCAACAGCAATCAACAGATATGTCGCTTCCGCCACATCTGTTCGTTCCCAGACTGCCAGGGATATCACCGGTTGCTCGAGCACCAGCGCCATGTGTCCGCAAAGCGAAACCGATCCCCCGAACGTCGCCCCAAGGACTCTCGTCGAGCCTTCTCTCGATAAACAATCCAACCCCTCGCTTAGTAATATTGTGTTGTGTAACTTTTTGTTGAACAGCGGCCAAATGAACAATTATTTGACCACAGCTGTGATTAATAACTTTCCACTTAAAATTGACACTTTTGACACGCTTTTAATCGCGCATCCGGATCGAGGTAAAGTTAATTACGTTGTTACGGGACTTCGCGACGGTTTCCGGATCGGTTTTAATTCGGAACTTGTACGATTACGGTCAGCGGATGACAACTGTTGGTCAGCACTGGCACACCCGGAGGTGATTGACAAGTACCTCGAGGGTGAAATTCAAGCTCACCGAGTGGTCGGACCTTTCGACGCGCCACCGTTGCCAAATTTGCATGTCAGTCGGTTTGGAGTGATTCCCAAGAAAAATAGACCGGACTCGTGGCGTTTAATATTAGACTTATCGTTCCCGCTTGATCACAGTGTCAATGACGGCATATCCAAATTCGATTTTCCGGTCAGTTATAGTTCAGTTCGGGACGCCATTCGGTTCATAATTAAAACCGGCAGGGGGGCGCTAATGGCGAAGGTAGATATTCAAAAGGCGTACCGTATTGTCCCAATTCATCCGGACGATCGTCATTTCTTGGGAATGCGGTGGCGCGATAAATATTTCATTGACTTAGCTTTACCTTTTGGTCTTCGTTCTGCACCCGGGATTTTTAATACGTTAGCGGATCTCTTTGAATGGCTTTTGCAACATCAATACGGTGTAGTAGATGTGCTCCACTACCTTGATGATTATTTTACTCTCGGTCCGGCAGGGACATCAACCTGTGAAGATTCGATTCGCGCCATTCAGGATGCTGCGCGTGAACTTGGTGTGCCGCTGGCCCCTGATAAGTGCGAGGGGCCAACTACGTGCTTAACTTTTCTGGGTATTGAGCTAGATTCCGTTAACATGACCGCGCGCCTCCCAAGCGAAAAACTATCGGAGCTACAAACGCTTATTACGCAATGGGCGGGGAAGAAGTTTTGCACTCGTAAACAGATGGAATCGCTAGTCGGTAAGTTTAATCATGCATGCGGGGTCGTCGTACATGGCCGGACTTTTATCCAACGTCTGATCAGTCTGCTTCGCACAGCTAAGCCACACCAAAAGTTTATTCGTTTAACCAAACAAGCGCGCCTGGACTTGCAATGGTGGGACTCGTTTTTACCATCGTGGAATGGCATTTCATTTTTCGACCTTCCGGAATGGACCCCGGTGCCCGACTTCGAACTCGCGACGGACGCATCCGGTAACAAAGGCTTCGGCGGGTTTTACCGCCAGGAATGGTTCTCGGCAGCGTGGTTACCGGGGCAACTGCATTTCGGTATGGCGTATAAGGAGTTGTACCCAATTGTTATCGCATGCCACCTGTGGGGTCACCACTGGAGTCATCAGCGCGTGCTCTTCCACTGCGATAATCAGAGTGTGGTGCAAATCATTACGTCTGGTGCCTGCAAAGACGATACGATCATGGACTTAGTCCGGGAGCTCTTTCTTGTGGCGGCCACGCACGATTTTCGTATTTCAGCAGTGCATTTACCTGGTAAAGAAAATTCAATCGCTGATGCTTTATCTCGATTCCACTTTCAGGAGTTCTTCCGCCTGTCCCCCGAAGCGCACAAGGTCCCTCGTTCGATTCCACCAGAATTGCAAGCGAAACTGACCTCAAATCTTTGAGGGAGAAAGCTACCGCCCTGCTTATCAACGGCTTAGCCAAATCGACCCGGCGAACATACAGTGCGGCCCAACGCCGTTTTTCTCGAATTCTGCTACTGGAGCGGGCAGTTTCACGAATCGGGCTCTCCTCTCCCAGCGAGCGAGTGGACCTTAATCCTGTTTGTAACCGCGCTGTCTTCCTCCCTCAAGGCGAGCTCGATAAAGGTGTATCTGTCAGGAGTTCGTTCCTTACATGTCGAAAGCGGCTTCGGGAATCCTCTCTCTAATTGTCTCCGATTGGAACAGGTTCTTCGCGGGATAAAACGTACTCAAGGTCTCGCCAGTCGGCCGCGTTTACCGATAACAGCCTCCATTCTTCGCCGGATATACTCGCTGCTTGACCTGCGCAACTATCGGGACGCATTGTTCTGGGCGGCGTGCTGTACAGGGTTCTTCGGTTTTCTGCGTTCGGGCGAGTTTACCACGACCGGTACCTACGACCCTACAGTCCATTTGTCGTTGGCGGACATATCGGTGGACCAGCGAGTGAATCCGTCGGTTCTGTTTCTACGCATCAAAGCTTCCAAAACGGATCAATTTCGTCGAGGACATACGCTGCGACTGGGCCGTACGAACACTTCGATCTGCGCCGTGCATGCTGTGGTCCACTTCCTCCAGCTCCGGGGCAGCTCTCCAGGCCCCCTCTTCGTGTTCGAGAACGGCACTCCTCTATCCCGCAATCACCTCGTTTCGTGGACGCGCGATGCTCTCGCACGCCTAGGTTTGGAGGGTAATTTTTCGGGCCACAGCTTCCGCATTGGTGCGGCGACTACAGCCGCTATGGTCGGCGTTCCGGACCATCTGATTAAGACGATGGGCAGGTGGCTAAGCGACGCGTATCAAGTGTACATTCGAACTCCGCCGAGTGTAATCGACAGCGTAGCAGCTCGTCTCGTTGCGTAGACTATAGTTTTAAATAAAACAAACAAAAAAACAACAACAAAAAAAAAAAGTGTATATAAGTTTGGTTGTCAGTCACAATAAAAGCTCTTGGGGTTTATCGCTTCTCCTCATTTTGTCCGGTCCGCTGGCTTAACGATCCAGGGCCAGTGGGGACGGGCCTGGTGTGTCAGTTATCACACCTATAAAATACGGTGCATCATATCATTGCCTTCGTCTTCGTTTATTGAAAAACTAAGCAGTTTTTTTAAGTTCTTCAAGATCGTCTTATGTAGGACTTTGTGGCATAAAGGACTTTGCGGCACAACATATACATGCTTATATATGGCATATATTACTACATTATATCCCTGTCAGACGGGCTAAGACTAATTTGAATTTTCTAACAAATCGGCGTATATTTTCAGACCCTTTACCAGACATTCCTTGAATATATGTTAGGTAACAGACTTCACTTCCATTTCAAAATGAAATGATTTGGTTCTCCGCGTCAAGCTCGAAAATTCGAAACAGACAACACACAAGCTATATATATTACCATAAGCTTCGAAACATCGGTACTCGTTATGACGTCACATCAGCAAACATGGCGGCTATAAAAGTTCGCATTTGATACCGAGGTTTGAGGGCAAAATTAGTCAACTTCTACTTAACACACAAAAGTCATATATACATCAAATTGTTTCTAAAAGACTGAATATTTGTTTAGGCTAATAAAAATGGGGTCGAAAATTTCGTTGCAGTAGCACTTTAAAAAAGACAGCATATCACGCAACAGGGTGCATTTCTTATCGCAGCCAGAGGACACTTCCGCCCCCATGCACATTATTCTTCTAAGACCAAGTTTTCGTGACCTGACCTTTCGCGCAATTGTAAGTTTCTCGACATGAAAGGGCAGGTTTGTAAAACCAAAGCCAAAGAAGATAACAAAACCACGTAATGGTGCCACCGTGGAGCAAGTCTCGGCCAGTCGGAATTGTTTCATTTGGACGAATTAAGCCAATATAGCTTGACAATATTTTTAAAATCGCCATTTCAACTGTAGTTTACTAAAAGTATTTAATATATGTAGGCCCTTTTTTGATACGCTAATCTTATTTGAAGTTAAACATTTTTATTTTTAATCCTATTTTGCTAAAAAGCTGTTCCATTAAAACATGCCTGAACTTAAATCTCTTTTAATTTTTTTTATTATATACTTTTATTAAAGGCGTAGATCGAACCTGTGCATGTCATTGCCCGTCGTTACGAATGGAAAATATAATTGACAAAATATAATTGCACTGCATGAAGTGTAGTTTCCACTTTATTATAATCATTTGAAATTTATATTTGACACTGAAGCCCCGTTACGCCACACTCAATTTACCAGCAAAGAATAGCCTAAATGGAGTCATAACCACAAATTCAGGATATTAATTACCATAAAAGTTCATAATGCCAGATTTTGCAATCAAAGAAAGCTGCCTTGTTATTATAGAATTATATAAAGCACGAGACAAAATTTGAAATGAAAGCAACTTCTATCTTATATATTGCCATTGCAGAGTTCGATATAAGACGGGCAGAAACTTTGAACATGCTGGTTCCCAGTAATGTAATCTCAGCAACGCGTTAGCTCCTTGAAATAAAATTATAATGGCTAGCAAGTTGCTGAGATGACATCACTGGGGAACCTGTTAAAGGTAATTGACTGTAATGCGAACTTTACAGTCTAACATAAATTTTTGAACTTGCAATTGAACAAAAGCGTTTATCTGATTTATTCAGATAAACGCTTTTGTTCAATTGCAAGTTCAAAAATTTATGTTAGACTGTAAAGTTCGCATTACAGTCAATTACCTTTAACAGGTGACAGATGACATCAGTAATCCATATCCGCGTATAGCATAGCAACAAACTGATATATGTAGAATTGTTCAAAAAAGTTAATATGATTTGGTTTCAACCTCAAGGGCAATTTTTTAAGAAATATCGAAAAAATTTTAGTTAGATTAAAACTGTCCAATCATATTCATATAGATTTTGTGTTATTTCATGAGGTTTCGGTATTGGTATAATAATTATGCCCGCTAGATTACAACACAAAATACAAGTGTATACGATGATGTATTTCACCGTTTGATCGTCATTTCAAAGATTTTTGCTTTTTTACATGTCTGTTAAAAATGTTAGAGTGTTAAAAATTTATTGTCTGAACTGTCTTCCTAATTTAATATCCAGCCATGCAGAACTTGTGTCTGTTCTTTTGAATCTTTTTATTTTCTGTTTTTTTTAAACTAATTGCATGGCTATTGTTACACAGAGAAAAACTAAGAGCATAAGAGGTTTCTATGCATGACATAAAATATAAACTCGTATTCCTCTGTTTACAGGTTTAATAATTTAATGATGAATTCAATTTGAAATTGCAACAACTTTAAATTATAAGTAAATTGATTCCATACGTGATACTATAATATCGGATATAATTTGTAACATGAAATGTCCAATATTAATCAACCTATAATATTTTTTAAAACCGGCGTATCTATAAAACCTGAAGTCTAATTCATGTAATAGAATTGTATTGTATAATTCATTTGGAATTTGGATGTCTACATTTTGAAATTACTTTCTGCTAAAGGCCTTTCCTTTTGTCAAAACCACCCCAAGAACCCCCGCTCGCCTTTTTTCAGCTGATCTACATACAATAACTGAAGAAGTTTTGCAAGGGGAGTTCTGTCATGCGCAAAAAGCCCTTTGTACAAGGTTGGCAGCTACTGGTGCAAATAAAGTTAAGCTGACTAAAGTATTTGCACATAAATCAATGACAGCATGATAAACTGCATGCTGGCAAGTATGTTGTACCTAAGGTACCGGTTGAAAATTTCTCATATGTAACAAAATTGATATAAAAACAATACAATTTAAAAATGAACAAAAATACAAGTAGTAACGTGTGCATGTATAACAATTGGTCATTTTAAAACAGGCTTCTCGTCTTAAAAAGTATTATTTTACCACAGTAGGCCACTATTGTGTTGCTTCACATAAAGTATCCCTTTCCTTAAATTAACTGCTGACATATCATCGCAGGCGCCGCAATTTTTTTCAGTGCACTTCACTTTAGTTTAATTGTGTATTATGATGTTCGGACCTTAAAAGTTAGCCTAACATTAGATATTGCATATTAACAATACGTTACAGGTGGCTCCCTACAATTTTTTAAAATATTGAAAACTTGTGGTTTTGATTTAAAATTTTAGCACGAGATTTCTTGCTAAGGAAAAGAAATTTCCCAAATATATAAACCAACATTCTAACAGTCAGAAATTGCCCATAAGCATGACGTCATTACCGTTGTTATGGTAACAATGGCGATTCAATATGGCCGACATTTTACCTATTGACGCATTTTACTCGAAAACAAGTTCGGTTACCCCAATTTTTTATTTTATGAAACGTTTTCTTACAAAAAAAATTGAAAATTTGAACCAGTTAAAAAAATTCTATACAGCCAAATTTATTAAATTAAAAAACGTGATTTTTCGTTATAGAGATTTTTTGGCTCTATTGAATTTTTTTAAACTTGCTCAAATTTTCCTTTTTTGTAAGAAAACTTTTTATAAAATAAAAAATTGGGGTAACCGAACTTGTTTTCGAGTAAAATGCGTTAATAGGCAAAATGGCGGCCATATTGAATCGCCATTGTTACCATAACAACGGTAATGACGTCATGCTTATCGGCAATTTCTGACTGTTAGAATGTTGGTTAATATATCTGGGAAATTTCTTTTCCTTACCAAGAAATCTCGTGCTAAAATTTTAAATCAAAACCAAAAGTTTTCAATATTCTTAAAACTGTAGGGAACCACCTTAATATGAATACATATTATAATAAAAAGTCAGATTACATAAATAGAAATACACCTTAGCTTATGCGTACCATTGCGACATTTTATAAAAGAATAAAGACTATATTTAGTGGAAACAGGCCTTATACAAGAAAAATCAGGTGAGTATTAGAGACACATTTAATATGTCATAATTGCATCATATCGCTTCCTACAGACTTCCACAATGGCGCCTGATATTTAAGGCCCAGGAATTATTTTATTGGTTGGAAATGGCGAGGTGTGCTGCCAACCTCGTACCCAGGGTCTTTTACCTACGCTCCTCGGACACGCTGCGGCGAAGACCCTGGTTGCGGCTGGTCACGTGAACCCCTAGAAATTGGCGCAACAGGACGTCCCGGTGAAGGCTATTTCAGATATGTCAGAGCACCTCGTCACCAGGCCTCCAACTCGTACGCGGCCACAATATCCAATATGGCGACCAGACATGAGGAGTGTATATTTTAAAAATCCTTAAAAATACGTTAAGCGTACATGCAAATTTTGTATATACGAGTAGACTTTGCAGTTTAGTTTTTTCCCGCAATAAAATTCATTTCAGAATAATTCATACAAGTACATTATTGTATACTTGATAGAATATAAGGATAAACTTACTCTTCCTGCTGTCACTTGCCAGCCTAGCCGCTATGTGTATATCCGCCAGAAATTACTCAGAGGCAATTAACGGAAGCAATCAAGGGCAGACGAGGGATAGCACAGCAGGTAAGGCACCTTTGTTTACCAAGTCTGTCTTTATTCAATTATTGAAAATTATATGAACAAACTGCAACAAACTAGACAATCTTAACTTGGAAAACTTAGACTGGTAAGATACATTCAATTTCCATGAGCATATATAGGGCAGGCTCCCCCGCTCCCCAGAAATTACTCCGCCTTGAAATTACTTGTTGTGTTAGTTACTCCGAAAGTGATTAATTTGAAATTACTATGTTAAATTTGATTAGAAAGGTCTAACCCCTTTGTCGAGATAACATTGATATTTTGTCAGCAAATCACTAGGTTCAATCAGGGGAAATTTGGCAACATGATGCAAAAATGTGTTTGTGAGAGTCTCAAGACAACTAAGTCTCCACTATGTAGAGTTGAAGATCAGATGAGTGACAACAAAGTCAAATGCAAAAAATGTTGCCAGAGCTTCCATGTCAAATGTTTAAATCAGGGATTGCAAACTACTAGACAAGCAAAAGAATGCACCTTAATTCTTCTGCCCTTCTCAACATGTACACTAAGTGAATTTGCTACTCCATGATAATACAGGGTTGTATGTATGTAGCCTGACCATGCACTCATTTTAAGTACTCTCTACCAGGCAAGTTGGTCTTAAAATTTTTAGTAGAACCCACACCTTGCAAACCACAACCAACACACTCTGTAATCAGATCAAACTTTAGTATTTGAACAAGAACAAAATGCCAAGTGTTTTGGAAAAGGGGCCTTTTACTGAAAATTCATGGGTGGGGCTTAGGAATTTCCTAAGGGGTAAGCAGAGAAGTGTCATGTCATTTTTCATTTTTTTTTCACAAACATGTTAGAGGGTTTAGTGTCTTGCTCACTTTGAGAAAATTTTGGAATGTCAAGACTCTTGGAAACACATTTTACTGCATTGTTTTACTGCCAAATTTCCCCTGATTGAACCTAGTGATTTGCTGACAAAATATCAATGTTATCTCGACAAAGGGGTTAGACCTTTCTAATCAAATTTAACATAGTAATTTCAAATTAATCACTTTCGGAGTAACTAACACAACAAGTAATTTCAAGGCGGAGTAATTTCTGGGGAGCGGGGGAGCCTGCCCTATATATGCTCATGGAAATTGAATGTATCTTACCAGTCTAACTTTTCCAAGTTAAGATTGTCTAGTTTGTTGCAGTTTGTTCATATAATTTTCAATAATTGAATAAAGACAGACTTGGTAAACAAAGGTGCCTTACCTGCTGTGCTATCCCTCGTCTGCCCTTGATTGCTTCCGTTAATTGCCTCTGAGTAATTTCTGGCGGATATACACATAGCGGCTAGGCTGGCAAGTGACAGCAGGAAGAGTAAGTTTATCCTTATATTCTATCAAGTATACAATAATGTACTTGTATGAATTATTCTGAAATGAATTTTATTGCGGAAAAAATTAAACTACAAAGTCTACTCGTATATACTGAATTTGCATGTACACTTAACGTATTTTTAAGGATTTTTAAAATATACACTCCTCATGTCTGGTCGCCATATTGGATATTGTGGCCGCGTACGAGTTGGAGGCCTGGTGACGAGGTGCTCTGACATATCTGAAATAGCCTTCACCGGAGGTCCCGAGGGTGGGTGGTTGAAATACGATATGTTGTAAAACAACTTCCGGTGAAAATTTTGTTTGCGAGGAGCGACACAAGCGACACGAGTGAATTTTTATAAAATAGGAGAGCCATGCGAAAAGATTCGAATTGTATGTTTTTTTTTATTTGTCTGCAGTTTTCTGTTTTGAATAGTTTGTATTCGAACGCTATTTTGAAACCTAAGCAGGTTATTTGTTTGGAAAAGCTGTTCCTTGGCGTGGATATATTGGCAATTCTACCAACCGGTTATGGCAAGTCCTTAATTTACCAGCTTTTGCCTTTGATGCTGTTCGCTAAAAGAGCATTGGAAGAACGTACAAATCAGCAACTTTGTACGGATGAAGTGACCTCTGTGCTGCTTGTGATATCTCCATTGAACGCTTTAATAAACGATCAAGTTCGAAAGTTATGTGCGATAGGACTTAGAGCATCGGCGATAAATATTCAGCCACAACAAAATATTGACGATGAAATCGATTGTGATGTAACTGAACTTGAACAAAAAACGAAGCTGATCAAAGGATATTATAATTTGTTGTTTGCTCATCCTGAAGCGCTAATATCAAGCAAGTTTGGAAAAGAACTAGTGAACAGCGCTATATACCAAAAACATGTTTGCGCTATTGTAATCGATGAAGCCCACTGCATTCTTGAATGGTATTTATTATTGTTTGTCATATATATTTATATACATTTAAATATTCCTATACGATGTCCTGAATTCAGTTTTTAGGCCATCTTAACTATACTTTATATGGTCTATATTGAAATCTAAATTTATTCTCCCTTAATGGTTGTATCATATAATGTATCACAAACGATCATATTTCGTCATTAAAACTATGTTATGTGAATTTTTTTAGGGGAGATGATTTCAGACAAGATTATGCAAAGCTAAGTGTGTTGTGTGCTGTCTTTCCAAAAGTACCACTTCTGGCTATGACGGCTACAGCAAATAAAAGTGACCGAAGGCAGATTAAGGAATCACTTGGCCTGCATAGTTGTTTTGAATTGATTGCAAACCCCAACAGAAAAAACATCTTCTATGAAAAGACATTCAGATATGGACAAGATATTGATGCATTTGAGCACATTTGCAGACCAATTGCAGTCGATTTGCTACATATGAAAATCGATTTCCCGTTGACTATTATATATATGCCACTTCGATGGTGTGGGTTTGTATACCGACTATTTGAAACCATACTTGGTATAAACCAATATTATCCAGCAGATTCCCTAGCCCTACCAAAAAACAGACTATTTGGACAATTTCATGCTCCACAGACAGCCAAGATGAAACAAGAAATTTTAGAACAATTGAGTCTGCAGTCATCAAAAATAAGGGTGGTTTTAGCTACAGTTGCCTTTGGAATGGGGGTGGACATTCCCTCAATTAGGCAAATTATACATATTGGGCCACCAAGAACCATTAGAGAATATCTCCAAGAAACTGGCAGAGCAGGTCGAGATGGAAAACCTTCAAAGCCATACTGTATTACAATAACAGAGACATTGCTAAGAACAAACCAGGATTCCAGGATGAAGTACGAATGTATTGCCTCAGCGATGATCAGTGCTTGCGTACTCTACTGCTGCAATTTCTTGACATTAGCCAGCCTGAAGCAGTTTCACCAAAACATTCATGCTGCAGTGTTTGCAAAACACAATGCTTATGTATTGAGTGTGGTTTAGCTGTTTAATAAACCTGCTAATACTAGTACAGTATATGTACAAATAAATGTAAATTTTGATGTATATAATAATCATAGTAACCATACAGCCATTTCAATTAAAGTTTCCTGCACCAATCTTTTTAACAAACGTCTCTGAATAATCTTAAATAGTTTAATTGTTATATTATAACTAATAAGGCAGTCCTTAAGTCGAAACACCAGGTTTTTTGTGTATATGGATATACAAAAAACCTGGTGTTTCGACTTAAGGACTTTTTTCTGAAGAGGTAATATGTTAAAGATTTGCACACTAACTCATGTGCTTAAGGCTCTTTTGGTTTGGTTTGGAAAATTCTATGCAGTGGCCAAAAAGTTAATATTTCCATACTATAATATTCTAGTTAATCATTCAGTGCTATAGTCTTATAATTAAATTACTGCTGTTTCAGTTTGTTTGCATAAACAATATTTATAATTCTTCATCATCTGATGTGTCTACTGGTCCGAAGATCAATTTCAATATTGTTTGCTGCACCACCCTTCCAGTTAACAGTAGAAGCCCAACGAGTTTGATAAGCCTGTCTCTTTGTCAGAAACACTTCATCCTGCAAGATGCTGATTAGCATCTCAATGGCATAAGTGTTATGACCTGCGTGACTTTTAAAATGTTTCAAAAGCACCTTTCGTAGAGATGCAAGCCAATCACCGTCCCCCAATTTCACTGCTTCTTTAACACATTGAAGGGTAAAAAATAATCTTAAAAGGCATAATGAATATTCCCTTACCCTATCAATGTGGTCCTCATCTTCTGACTCCTCACCCGACTCAGAGTTATTTTGAGCTGGAAACAAGTACTCATCCACAAACTTATCCAGAACATCATCAAAGTACTGTTGTTTTTCCCCATCACCATGCAGTACATCATGTGGTGGAATATGGATTTGTGGAGAGTCATTGATATCATCCATTCCAAAAAATTGTAGCAATGCTACAATGGTGTATGCCCTGCCGACCGTGAGAAATAATTGTTCACAATCCTCATAATGCTTAATATCCTGGGTAACATTTCTGCGTTGTAATTTCTCTCTGAAATACCTCAGTGTACGCCTTGCTCGTGTAGAATTTTTATATAGCATCTTGAATATAAGCTAAAAAATAAACAATAAAAAATGAGTCATTAATGATTAATCATGAAATAATAGTTTTAGTAGAAAAACTATGTGGAAGAAGAGACCCTAAAAAGAATTTAAGTGTGAGCTTAGTAACTTTTTAGGATCTTGGTAGGGATGTATTCTAATTTAGAAGATTAGGGAGATATGTTGAGGAAGTATTTTGGAAGTAATAGCTAGATTGAGGAGTAGGGGTTCACCTATGTCCAACAGGTGTTAGAGAATAAAAAGCTTTTGGTTGTTTTGATTTAGGCATTTTTTAGTAATGATAGGGTGGATGTAGATTATGCAGTTATTATATACTGGGTGCCATTTTATCATGACACAATTTGTACCTTCAAAAAACTTTTTTTACAATGCCAATCAGCAACCTTTATTGGATGAATATGATCCAGTCGATCTCGTGCTGTATGACATCCAGCTCTTAAATCTTTTGCACCAGCCAGGCGTACTCTAGTGAGTTGATCACCATAACAGGGTACTCTAACTGTTGCCAAAGGGTCATTAGGGTCAGCCACAGGATGTACATGTGACAATGGTTGATCTGGTCTAGAAGTAGTTGCAGGCAGGAGTAGGTGTTGTTCATCTTCAGAATGAGACTGACTGCAGTCATTGTATGTGTCACTATCTGGAATGTGTCCAGCTTTAGCACAACTCTTATGGACCCATGTTTCAAGCTGATCCAGAACATCGACAATCTCGCCATATTTCTTTTCATCCTTTGAAAGAACTGGAAATGGCACAACAATTTATTTAGCTTTCATTTGGTCACCATACATGGAAGACTGGTCGTGCTGTTACCAAATCCTTTATAAAGTCAAATGCAGGGATGTTCTCACACATGATTTTTGCCGCTATCATTTTGTATGCTTGGTGTTGCTTTGCCAGGTCATCATCTCTTAGACCAACCAACTTGGCTATGTCAGTATGAGCTAACGACTGCTGGGGCTCTTCATCTTGCAAATGGCTTGATGATATGCGATCAAAAACTACAGATGTTGCAACAGCATGCACACTTTTGTTTTGATGATCAGATCGCATATCATGGACCTTTTCCTCCCAGTCAATGTTATCAAGTACAAAGGAGAAAGTTTTCCCAGCCTTCACTTCTTCAACCACTTTGTCAAGAAAGTGTGTGCCAATCTCATCTTGAATAGTATATTTCTTTGTCTTTTCGAGGCATATACCATACTTATTAAACCTTTCATATACCTTAAAAAATATTGTAGGTATTGTATCATTTCATGTTTATAACTAATCAAAAAATTTTATTTAACAGGCAACAATGCTCAAACAGACTTCTGTTTGACCTTTAACATCTGCAATCTGCACTGGAGAACTTCCTGTACAAAGTCTAATGCGTGCCGCAGAGAATGCAGAGAAGATAAAAGCCTTTGATATTGAAAAGCATCAGGCACATGTTAACCTATCTCATATTTTGCCTATTGCTGAATATATATAAAAAAACGTAATCGATAAAGGGCATAATCGTCTTACTGGCGATTGCAAGGAATTGGGAATCAAAGTTAATTTGCACTTATCATAATTGGAACGAGTTCAAAAAAAAAGACAAAAACTTTGTAACAGTGGGATCGGCGGATGGGGATGACACATCAAGCTTATTTAATGAGAAATCTCAAACAGCTGAATAAACATTTGCAGTCCATAGAGTTATATGACTTATAACTGAAACTAGGCTATTGTTTATTGTTTATCCTCCCTTGGCCTGTAGATACTTTTTTACACCGAATCAACCGGCAGTCTTGAGAAGTTGAAAAAAAAACTCTTATACTCAATACCCACAATTAAAGGAAAAGAACAAATAATATCACAGTGCATGTTTACCTCGGTATTCGCACCACTATCCGCCAGAATTACACTGTTAATACGCTGGAAATAACTCAACTCGTGGCATCTTTTGAACATAATCACCCCGTATATCAATGTCATTGGAACAATCCGCGTTTCCGAAATATTGAGTTCCAACATTTCTGCTAAAATTCTGTAAGTCGCAGGGCATATCGTGCGCAACTCGTCTATGATTTGCTCTGGTGAAAAGGTGCTCAATCCCTCAAAATGACGGCTGCGAAGCTTTGAATTCGTCTCTCTTCTAGCTACTTCACGCAATTCATCATTAATCCTTTTTAGTATTTCATCGAATGACGCGTCCTAGCAAAATGTAACAATTTTGCATAATGTTAAGGACTGAAATTTATTATTATAGTACTACCCGTAAACTATTTTAATTTACTGTTTACAAGATTTACCTGGTAAGGGGCAATTTCTTGTAGCGTTGAATCAATTGCAGTATCAAAAGACAAGCTGCGGCGAGAGCCCACACTTCCATCTGCTTCACTGGTTCTCGAACTCTTAATGCTGCTCATGGCTACAGATGGCGATGATTCGTTGATGCATCTCTTTTTCGATGTCAAAGAACTTTGGGTTTCAGTCACTATTCTCCTAAACTTGGCAAAATTGTCAAGCCTTCTCTCGCAAGGCCGACATAAAAGTTTAGGAAGCCCGTCCTCATTCGCAAGAGTTCCACCATTTACAAATTCTGCGACACAAAGAAGGCTTTTATTTCGCACTAGAAATAAATTTTTGCAGTGCTTCTTATCGAAAACGCCAGCACAAAGGCGACACTTGCACTCCGACAACAAGTCAGATTTCGGATAAAGTTTCTTTGGAGCTTCCTTTCGCTGTGCCATAGCTTGGGAGCAACCGATACTGAAGTTTTTTTAAGTCTGTATTCGATTATAACTATGCGCTCCGAATTCAAGGTGCAAAACATACCTCCAACGACGCACATTAAAGCAAAGAGGTGTGAAAAGTTTTTGTGCGGTGACATATTTCATATAAAATAAAAGCAAAACCGACAAGGCCAACAAAGTGCCGAGATTTTTTCGGTTCACACCTGATGATCAATCTCCTGGCTTTTTAACAATTCCCTCTACCACTCCTCCCTAAGAGGCAAAGAGGCGCCAATTCGAATTACCCCCAATTTCTAGGGGTTCACGTGACCAGCCGCAACCAGGGTCTTCGCCGCAGCGTGTCCGAGGAGCGTAGGTAAAAGACCCTGGGTACGAGGTTGGTGTGCTGCATGCATGTATTTCTAGTCCAGCTAGCTAAATCATAAGCAACTTAGCTAAATCACGATCGAGATTGCCCTGAGACACAGACGAATAATATAAATTAATATTTGCTGCTCGTCTGTCTCTCATTGCGCAAATTCTAGCAGCCACCTTATTAAACTGTGATATTATTCTTCGACCGAACAATATTCACGTGGGATCCACGCGAGACGGTTCGAATCGCGAATTACATCATACATGGTGTCAGGTGGTATTGCAGCACTTCAACTCCTCTCGCCAAAATTTAAATATTAACTTAGGAAAGTTGTTTATTAATATGTTGGCGAAAGCGGAAATTTACCGATCAGATCAGCCAACCGCATCGAACTTCGTCCGAGTTGGTTATATCGAAGTCGCAAGGCAAGAGGACGAAAATTCGATGGAAGAACTACAGTTGCAGAATATCAAACTCCTTGACCAAGGCGACGGGCAGAATTTCCATTCGCCCGAAGAGAAAGCTTTCATTCGCAAGGCTGAAGTCGACACAAACCACGGCAAAATACATGTGACATTACATGGTACCGAAGGCAAACCGGCCATAATAACATTTCACGATATCGGACAGAATCATGTCTCTGCCTTTCAGAGCTTTCTCAACTGCGGCGAAATGGCGCCCATATTGCAGTATTTCACAATCTATCATATTGACGCGCCAGGCCAGCAAGAAGGGGCCTCACAATTTCCCGAAACATTTCAGTATCCCACCATGGACGACCTGGCCGAAATGATCTCGGACGTAGTGGCGCATTTTAAATTGAAATCTTTCGTGGGACTGGGCATTGGCGCTGGAGCTAGCATTCTTTGTCGATATGGCTTGAAATATCCGAAATTGGTCGACGGTTTGATGCTTATCAATTGCTTCTCGGGGAAAAGTGGCTGGGTCGAATGGGGCTACGAGAAGGTACCGTGATACACTGTTCAATATATACCAACTAATTTAATCCGGTTTGAAATCGAACAACCAACTGATATCAGAACTGACCATGATACATTGGTAGTAATATCAATTAAATGTTGACAAATAGGAATATTTTAATGTTGATACAGAATAGATCCATTGAAGGCTTGAAGCGATTTAACTTTTTTCTATGCCATCGAGAGTATTTTATTTATTTCAACTTAATTTCCAACTCCAAACTACACTGCTTTTATTCTGTTCGGTTTTAATTAATAGGCATTGGTGGTTATTAGGGCCTGTGATTTAGTGTCAGTTGGTTGTGCGTATACTGGCAAAGTTCCATTGAGAGCTAAATTCTTGGTTCTTAATGTTCTCAATTTAGTTTAACTTTCCTTCATAAGTAACCTAGCTTCTAAGGCCAGAACAAAAGTTGCTTTTGTTAAATCTCTTAGAGGCAAAAGATAATAGAGTATTTCACTTTGCTGATCATGCATCCATTGTATATTTGTATTCAATGCATTTTAGATGCAGTGAATTGTAAAACAGATCAAAAGTATTAAGAAAGTTTAAATGGGGGCATATTACTTTCTATAAAAACTGCATCTAATTGACAATAGAAAGAAATTGAAGCGAGTTTGGACAGATCAAACCATCTTGAATTTTAAAATACCGTGGTACAAAGTTGAATAAGAAACATAAATTTATGTGCAGGTTTTTCACTTTCAAAGCAACTGTTATAGACAATGAATATTATTCTGGATTCGCATACACAGTCAGTAAGATGAATATGCATGCAAACTACCATGTGAAAGTGTTATATTTAGTGTTAGTGAAAGTGTGTTATTTATATGACATACAGTGGTGATCAAAAGTCTGAGTCCAGTCGATAATTTTTCTTATATTACGATAATTTGCAATAAATGATATCTTGTGAGTTGGAGATTGGATATGTTGATTTGAACTTGCGTATTTTATGATAGTAATGCCTCGGGCCATAGATTTCACAAAACGTTTCCAACTTTTCGTTTGACACATATAACCGTAAATCTCAATTTCTCTCATTTTTTTGAGACATTCCATTATTGTTGGCCCTCTCTTTGCCATCTTTGGTTCAGAAAAAAGCACTTCTTATTAACTTCAATATCTGATGAGAATTAACCAGAAATCAATGGGAGGCATTACTATATCTAAGCAAGTTCAAATGAACATGTCCAATATCCGTCTTACAAGATATCATTTATTGTTAATTATCGTAATTTAAGAAAAATTATTGACTGGACTCAGGCTCTCAATCACCACTGTGTAGAATTTATATCTCTAGACTAAAATGCTTTAGGTTCTGCAGTAGAAGTGTTTAAACACTGACAGACATGTACATTTTCTGTAAGGCTGAAGCCTTTAATTTAACTTTCATTTGCTCTCAATTGCTTGTGCATGTATGATATACAGGTATTTTGCCTGCATTGGATATTTCTTCCTTAAAGCAAACTTATAAAGAAGACTATTATGTTTTAAAATGTCATTTAACAAATAGTATGAACTTTGTTTAAGTAAGAATTCAATATGTGCCAAGGTTACTGTTGACAGTGTTATGTACATTGAAATGAAAATAATAATATATTGTAAGATCTGTCATTTATCCAAAAGTTTAGTTGACACTGAGGTTTTGACAAACCTACACTGTACCTACACTTGAACCTGGTCTTATTAAACAAATGTTTACCCCTTAGCTGAAAGATTAGAAACATAGAACTATCCTTACAGGTGCAAAAATTGGGAAGGATTTGAACCAAGTTTGTATTCAGTGGGTGAGGTTGGACAGGGCTTCTAAAACAAGGGAGGATATGTGGGTGATTTATCTCAGGGCTAAGAAGGCTAATGATGGGAGACCTCCAGTGTTTCTTATGGACTTCAAGGTGCATAAGACAGGCTAGATTTCAGATGCGGATGAAGCTGATAATTTATTTGTATTAGAATTTTTGCAACTAATTTTGGTTAGGTTTTTATATTTGTTGTTTACTACCCAGCGACAAGGCTAGCTCTGTTAGCTCAGTGGGCGTGCAACATGACTGTGCAAAATGCCCGAAGCTCTGCTGTTGCTATTTGTGCAATTCTCATTGGTTATAAGCAGGCAGTGAGATAGTTATTGCAATTGTTTGCTATTTTAATATTTATTTATTTAATGCTCTATGAACTAAAATAACCGCAAAAAATGGCGATTGATCATTTTTACAGTAAGTTTATTTTATGATCACAAGCATTTAAGTACACTATGTTCAGACAGTAGTTTTCAGTGTCTTATGCATATATACAGTTTTAGCTATTTGGTTCTATAGGTGGCCTGCATGTTTTGTGTTTCAAATAATGCCAGAAAAAGAAAGTATATGAATTTCTTCTTCTGTTGCACTCTGCTTACGTGGGAATGAACTAGCAATGTTTTTGAGTGAAATGTATTAAGTTTTATATTGGCTTTCTATGGAATATTCAATATCCGTTGTCATTGATACGAAAACGGAAAATGAATAAACAATATAATATAATCGCGAAGCGCATAACAATATGTAAATTCAGTTGACTGTATACCAAAAATAGCAATTTATGTGAAGATTTTTATACATCCTCGCTATAAAACCACAGACACTAAGTCAAGGAAACTGTCGTATTGCCTTATTTTATATAATATATATCCAATTGACATGTTGTTGAAGACAACAGGTGAACTGCCTTCCTTAATAAACGAGGTTATATTAAAGAACGGATGCGAATTAGCGTGTTTATAAAGTTATTTTTTAAAAAATATTCCATACTGCTTTAAATGCTACTTGATTGTAGAAAGGCCAATACCTCATGATGCTGATATATAAATATCAACATGTCATTTCAATTTTTAGCAGCTGCCTGAAGAATTCGTTTAAAATATATTAAATGAATATTTCAAACATCATTCGTATTTTATGGGACATTCAAAGTCAACAAGGATATAAAAGGTGTTTGTCAATGCGAATTCTCCATACGGATATTTTGAGATATTAGGCTGTGTTTCCCCTTACAATTAAGCCTGGTTTTCAAATAACGCCGGCGTTGGCGTGTCCAATACTCCAATTGTCGGTGACAATGTTTGATTGATTGCAGACAATAAATCGTCGTCATATGAAAACTTAAGCCCGGCCTCACAAGTAGGTTGTTCGTAAAATATTTGCCTGTTTGGAAAACACGGGCAGATGTCGTGAATTCATGTTTCTGTCACCGTAGGCGTCGAGGTAGGCGTTTGGAAATTTTGGCAATAATAAGAGGCTCCAGCTACGGTACAGAGTACGTAAACTACCAAAAGTACAACTAGAGTTAGTTTTCGTGCTCTCAAATTCTTAAATCATGCACACGCCATCACATTTGTTAAGGGATAAAACTAAAACATTGGCGGGATAGGTCGCATAGCGAAGGGCATGAAAGCAATGACGTAATATGACGGGAATATCACGCAACCAACACTTGCCAGTCGCAGTTGCCTTAAGGCCCTGTTACACAGTGCATTTTTCCTGCGACTTGCAATGCAATTCTTCTTTTGAGAGATGTAAATTTGGCAACCACCAAACTTTTGTCCTTATTACATTCCATGGTGTTTCTTACACTTAACATTTTGAAGACTCTTCACTAATTAACATCTCGTAAAAGTGGAATTGCATTGCAAGTTGCAAGAAAAATTGCACCGTGTAACATGGCCTTTATACGGGTAGCATTACTTTAACACATAAACCAACGTAACATGTTTAGGGCAATTACGGCTAAGAAAATCCGCCCTAAGCAGCACTAAGTTTGGCGCGAAAATGACAATACCTCGTAGTTGTCACTGATAAAGTTCTCTATGATGTTCCATAAACGGAAAAATATTTTTGCTCGCCGAAGTACTCTTACTGAAATGAAACTAGAAAGGGGTCACCCCTGCCCTTTTATAGGCTTGGCCCCACTGCCCTATTTTAGCACCACTGTTTCCATCTATTTAGCCGACAAACAGGAGGTAAAATGCAATATCAATTCAATTGGTTCAAAAACGATCAATTTTTATCCGTATATTGACAGTGAATTCTTGGTTAACTTGGCCCGTTTGCCATCGAGATTTAAGATCTTTCGCCAAAATGTGATCAATTTGCCTGCTATTTAATAGATATCTTCTCATCAGCTGAAAAGTAAAGGCATGACAGCATTCACAGAAGACTACCTTGTTTGGCATCATTTTGGTAAAAGATCGACAGAGGAAAATCGTGACTTGGTCGCGTCCTACCGCAAGAGCCTGGAGACGGCTTTCAATAATTTCAATCTTGGTTTGTTTGTGGAGTCCTTCAGTAGGCGAAGTGAAATCAACATGAGACGACCTTTGCCAGGCGAAGCATCGAATATCCCTTCATTGAAATGCCAGGTTTGAAATTCATGCACCATTTCACGATTTGTATTTATAGTTTATGATCCATGATGTATAACAATAACAAAAATACGGGTTTTAAGCTTTTCCGTGCAATTGGTGTTTCACTGTTTATGGCTTCTAGCTATGAAACAGTCCACTAGGGGAAAAGCCCGCTTTTTTTATAGAACTAGCCTGAGATCGTTAAGGTTCAGGGTTTTATACGCTGGCGCTGGATGTATTTTCACGTAGTTCATTTACCTAGCGTTTTGTCGGTGCAATCAATAGTGTCTCGTTTCACGTATAAACATTCCTAGCAGACATATTGGATATTCCAATTTTGAATCGTTCTAACAAGGTATAGGTGAATGACTGCTAAATAAACGTCAAATTTGCAACAACGGCAACGTGAAACCGCTAAGGTGAAACCGCGGCAGGGGCGTAAGTAGGGGGGGGGATGAATAGTCATATATTCAGAACTGGATATATGAATATTTAAAGCCCCCCCCCCCCCCCCAATTATCGTTCTAGTTACGCCACTGTATAATGACGGATCACGGATGCCACGTGAACATCCCTGATTTAGTCAACACCTGCCTATAATCAACGTTTTCGTATGCACAGGTTATAAACAATTAAGGTCTCAATAATAAGATTGACCAATCGCAGACAGTGCAAGCCCTAGCTAGTGAACAATGTTCTGATGTTATCGTATTACCTCCTTCGCGTATAGATCATATACTCGTTAGTAATTTACGTTGAAAGGATTTTATATGATTTTATATGGTGATTTCTTATTTCCTAAGGTCTTACTGGTCGCTGGCGATTATTCTCCTCATCTCGAAGAGGTGTTATTAACAAATTCTCATATGGATCCGACCTGTTCATCTTTGATGGAGGTCAGTGACTGCGGTGGAACTCCGCTGGAGGAGCAACCAGCCAAGATGGCTGGCGCATTCAGATTGTTTCTCCAAGGCTTGGGATATGGTAAGACTACCAGATGGCATTTAATCCGAAAGTTATTTATTTGCTTATTCTATTGTTTCATTGTATATCATTGTTTATATAGGTATGTTCGTATATAATGCGGAAAACTTTAAGCGGTTGCAGGCGAAACGAAAAACGCATTTTCTTTATTTTCCGTACATTATATCTAATAAAACTTTGAAGCTAATTTGTTAGTTTAATATATTTCCTTGGCCGACTATATTCCAGTGGCGAAGGGCTTCTCTAAAGGAAAGTCTTCAACCTTTCTCCGGGAGGAATTCAAGTTATAAAAAAACCGTCATAAAAAACTACTAATTATTAGCTACGTTTCTATAGAAAACTCGTTCCTCGCGATTCGGTTATGTCATGTACTTACGACATAAATCTTATCTGTTATGTCATACATACATCCGGCTGAGGCTATTCTATTTTCGACTATTCCATAATTATGCATAAACATTTTGACATTTGATCACTTTTCATGGCAGCGGGAAAAAAACGACCGAAAAAATTTTGATGTGATTATTACCTTAAGTTAGTAAAAATGATTTTCTGCAAAAGATTGTTTTTTATTAACTACCTTTGTAATTATAGCTATACTATCACTTCGTCTCGGCTCTAATTCAGCGATATTCGCGTCGCATGCGGCGGTTAATTGTTAATTAGATGCATCTTTATCTTTAGTGCCAAGTTTAGTGCCATTGAAACCACAGAGGCCGTACGATCCAAGGGACCATCAAGGACCAATAGGAGTAAATATGCGTATAAGGACAATATTCTACGTAGATACATGTCCTATATATGGTTGTGTACAATGATTTTAGAATTTAATTCGAAATGGTTGTTGGAGATGTCACAGAGTAGAAAATTGACAGAAAAGTAACTCAGTGGTGGGTCGTATCTCAGTAATGTTGTTTACTGGTCAGAAATTACCCGGGAAAATGGGAGAGTATAATAGTGGTTTTCCGCACAATGCATGCGATAAACTTAAACAATCTCGACAAAGTTGTTTTTCTGTTAATTTCTTATTCTACGTCTACGAAAATGAGTTGAATGTAACATTTATAGTATAAGTAGCCTGGATATATACTGTACCATAAGGTTATTTATAATTAATCTCTATAGGCCAAGCTTGTCTCTTTTAACAATTTTTACATATACGGGAAATTACAAATATAACAAGTTAATATACTTCGTATAAAATGTTTTGAGAGAGCACAAAAATGTTTCGCGAATGATTTAACGTCTAAAAAAGAGTTCAATTGCCCAATGTTTAAGAATTGTGATGCTGTTTAGATAATAAGCAGTAATCAAACAGTCACGACTGTTTGCGCTCATTTATGAAGCGTGAACTAATTCACGGGTTTGTTTACGTGTTGAAATAATAGTAGACCCTATTTGTTTCAACCTTTCGCCTTTAAACCGCCTATAGAAAAAAATGTATGTTTCCAATTTTTTGATTCTTCGTTTAATAATTTATTTTTCATGTGAAAACATTGATTGTGCCTGGAGTCCTGAAAAAAGGACTGCGTTTATAGTCTGGATGACATAAAATCCTCGCCTACCGTTTGCCGTTTGAAATATAACCTTAAGCTTAAGCCTGAGCAGAAATAAGCTATGGCATTTTACGATATAGGTTATTGTATTGTCTGCACTCAAGGAAATTGTGTGTGGAAATATCGATCCAGAAGCGTGGGAAGGATAGGAATCTCCACTGTCTTTCGCAATTATTTAACTCAGTGTCACGGTATTCTATTAACCTTTTGAAGGGTAATGTCACGTTATCTGACTTGAAGGCGAGCAATTCATGATGTTTAAAATGCGTAATTAATCGCATTGCTGCAATAGTTCACATTTCATAGTTAAATGCAAATGTTATCACTTTGCTGTCATGGACATTGGCATTGACCAACTACATTTATTTTCACACGCATGTAATGTTTGCGACTCTTTTGAATCAATTATCATGCAAGCCTTCATCGGCCAACGTGCATCGATGCATGCATGTACTCCGACGTGCGTGCTCTCTTTAGTTCTTGCGATTGCCATTTTCCACTTATTTATTATTAACTTGATTGTAAAGAAAGGTTTATCAATAAACACACATAATAATTATGGACGTTATATTTTTTATAATATCACACTTATTAAATAGAGATTACTTCATGGTTGGCGAGTGCGTACGATTTTTATGCACGAGTTGTGAAGGATCGCAATACGAACGAGTGAGCGCAGCGAACGAGTGGGTTTGCGATCCGTCGCAACGAGTGCATAATAAAAATCGTACAAACGAGCCAACCATGAAGTAATTTGTTTATTAAATGTGTATAGAGATCAATTTGATAACGACACGCTTTTAATATACAAAAACACAGCGAGCAACAAAATCGAAACTTTATGCATGAAAACATATTTATTATCGTTCAGTTTCTTTGTAATTTTGTTCAATAGAAGTTAGACATTCTTTCCGAAAGATTTGAGAATGCTGAATGTAAAAATATCTTGAATATGAGAATTATGTTTTGAATCTCACTCCTATATTTCGACACCATCTTGAGAGAAATGTAAACAAATTGCCGCCAAAATGACATACGACAATTTTTCACGTGTGAAGAATATCGTACGTCCAATCAAAAGCCGTGTATGGCATTTTTTCACACGTGAAAAACATCGTACGTCCAATCAAATTGCATGAAATTAATTTGCACGGTGAAATACGATTTTTATTCATCATTCTGCTGTGCATGAATCTCTATACACATATAATAATAAGGGGTATAAGTGAGATTTCCCTATACTTTCGCTACGGCTCCTCTTGGGGCAGGGGAAGAAACAAATTAGCTATATGCACACACGATGCATGCAGGTAATTTTCTATGAAATATTAGTCCATCAGGGCGAACCCCGTATCGACTATCATCTCTAATTTATATAGAAATCATGTTCGCTTCAAATGTGGTATGATCAACTCCCTAAAATAGACAACTTCGTATTATAAAACACTTCTCGATGAAACGATTAAAAGTATTTTTGTCTGTGCAGTTGTTATACTACATTTAACCGCTGCTTTATCATAAGTATTGGAGCATAGAAATCAAGAGCGCTTAATAGTACAGCTATCTCGTGATTTCCCACATTCTTCGCCAAATCTTTTGACGTAGATAAGCGTTAATCAAAAGTCGGTTTATTCCAGTTCCAACAAAAGTTATTTAGTGGGTAAGAAGAATCAATCTTGAACGTCGAGTAAAGCATTGTCAAAAGAAGGCCACTTTCAACGCAAGATTGCTAGCAGAGTTGGCTGCAGCCAAGGAAGTGTCAGTGACATACTCAGGAAGAAGAGACTGACTGGAAGCGTTAAAGATTGCAAGATACCGGGCAGGAAAAGAAAGACAACAAGAAGATAAGACAACATTGTGGTTCGAAAAAGCAAAGCTGATCGCTTTAAAACCGCTCTCGAGATTAAAGCAGAGATGTCAAATGAGCATGGAGTCAATATCTCTGTTTCCACCACCCAACGAAGGTTAGAAGAAGCTGGTCTCAATGGCTGCAAACCAAGGAAGAAGCCACGTCTCATCTCTGGTCAAAAGTAATCTTTATTGACCAGTCACGATTTCTACTCCATAGGACTGATGGTCGGGTGTATGTCAGGAGAATGGTTGGCAAGGACCTCAAAGAATATTGTGTACAACCAACGGTAAAGCATGGCGGTGGCGTAATAATGGTATGGGGATGCATGAATTCAAGGGGGACTAGATGTTTCTCTAAGGTGAACGGTAGGCTAAACGGGCCTGGGTCATTGAGCTCAAAAGAACTGGAAGGCTACCTCCTGATTAAAATAGCCAAAATTATTGAAGCCAAATTTGACCTCCAGACACGCGTGTTTTACCTCCAGACACGCGTGTACATGTTGCGAGACATTCTCGCGAGGGCCTTTTCAGGATTGATTTAGGCTATAATTTTGTAATCAATGCTGATTAAAGCATACCTCGAACCGCGGCGTGGTGAAATTATTAGGAAAATGTAAACAGTTTGTTCGAAAACGATCACTACTTCAAAAAGGTTTGCAGGCAACAAAACGAAAAATATATATTTTGTTGTTATGTGTTAATTTAATTGCGAGTTTGATACAGATAAATTTAGTATACTTTACTCTGTAGTTTTCACGGATGCTTTTATCGTAAAAAACTGTGCAAAACGTACTTTATGATCTCTAAAAGATGTTTTTAGTGCTTGCATGTTGAAGTATTATTTTTGAAGTCTCAAAAAACCGCGTGTTTAGTTGCGTGAAAAGACTGGGCATGACCCCAAAATTTGGCTTCAAATCTCCGGCAGGAGGTAGCCTTCCAGTTCTTTTGAGTTCACTGGCCTGGGTACATTTCTGTCTTGGAGAATGCAATTATTCCCACAACTCACATGTTGCCTGATGCCTGGATATTTCAGCAAGACAATGCCACCTGCCATACCTCCAGGGTAGCAAGGAATTGGTTTGAGGAAGAGGAAATTACAGTCATGGACTGACCAGCACAGTCACCAGATCTCAACCCGATAGAGAATCTGTGGGAACATGTTAAAACTATGGTTCAAGAGAAAAATTCCCAAAATAACGATTAACTGTGAGACAGTGTCCAAACTGCTTGGAGAGAATTCCCTCAAGATAACCTAAGGAACTTGATAGATAGCATGCCTCGCAGGTGTAAAGCCATCATAAAGGCGAGAGGAAGGCCTACCAAATACTAAATACAAAAATTGTACATATTTCATTTAATTTATAGTTTCAAAAGAGTGACTTTATGCATTCCTGTATTTCATCGTAAAAAATAACTTTTGAGCAGTTCTTTTTGACTGCCAGTGTATAATGCATCACCAATATAATAACGATAATCGATATTCTGTCCGCAAACCCCACACGTGCGACATCAGCTGTGTGTTTTAGGCTAAAATCTTTAATTGACATCACCACCATGCAGACTGCATATAACTTGACGGGGAACCAACATTTCAGTCTTCATAGTCGATATTAACTAGCGATCGAAGGCTCCTGCTACATGATAATAAACAATTATTGGATGGAGGTTTTGTGATATGCAGAGCTTAGCGAGACCTTGATAACTCTGCATATCACAAAAACCGAATTCAATAATTGTTTTATTATACGTTTGAAAAATAGTAAACATAGTATTAACGAATGAAAACCTTGTTTAATAACAACATCCAAAAATACATCAATTATTAATACATAAATACATTCAAATGAATACCGCTTGTTAACCACCGTAGGCTCACTTGCATATAAGTCAGTTATCTGCCAGCAGATGAAAAAGATGCACGCGCGTTCGAGACGACGTGGAATAGGCTCTAAAAATATATAATTATAGATTGTTGATTAGGACTAAGAATAAATTACAGGTAAAAACCCCGCTGTTTTAGTGTTTTATTAATTATGATAGTGCAACCAGGTAAAATATTCGTGAATGAGGCAAAAATGTGTAGAAAATGGGGAGGACGCGACGGAGCAATCGACGGAGCTTCCTTTCCCGCGTCCTCCCCAAAACTCCTTGCGCGCTCGCTCAGCTTAGCCACTGATCTATGTAAGAACCTGTAGTGTTCCTATATTTATTTTATTTAAAGGGGCCTGGGAACGAGGCTGGGGACTTATAGTTATATGCAAATGTATATAATCACTCGAAACAGAAAGGATTGGACTAGACAGCGATATTGTGGAGGTCATATACGATCGAGTCGTTAATATTGGGTATGAGCTAGAAAAAAAGTTGTCACGAACATGTAAATGCGCTTGTCAACTAAACTTTCGCGAGTG